ATATTATGGTGTTTTCTTGATTTGTTCACTTATTTCTCTCATAGCTTGGGACAGGCAAGAAATCCACTGCTGTTGCTCACAGTCAGTGATGGAGGAAAATAAGGATTATTATAATATGGAAGCAACATATCCTACAGCCTTAATAGGCAGGGAAATATACTTCCAAATTAGATAATTGTGCAGTTTCAGGCTCTGATCAGAATTTGATAAGCCATGTGTAATGTGCCCTAACTAGAGATTCTTGATGCTGTCCTTTCTGGAGTTCATTGCTAATAGACGTCTTCTAAGCCAGAATAGAACATCATCTGCATTCTTATCCCTGACAGCTACTTACCTGTAATTCTTACTGTAGCTTGACAGCTATAAAGGCTTACGAGGGACACCTAGTGGCTGCATTTGCTGTAATCCTTCATGATCCTGCATTCATTAATCCATCTCTCTCCGATTCATGCCTTGGCTCCATAAACGGACACTAACTGTCTCGGTAATTCACTCATTGATTTATGAACCTGGGAGAGGTTTGTTTTGACCTAACTATTTGATTAGTCCTGGTAGCTACTTCTATTAAGGGGATGCATCTTTTTTTGGCGGGAGTATAAGCAAAGGGGCAAATCAAGGACACTTTATGCTTTATGCATAAATGAAGGCACAAAAGCTTTCAGAGCCAGATTCTACTTTTCATTCCATAGAGATTGTGTTTGCCAGATCAGCTCAACAAGCCAGAACGAGTCTCTTTACTCACTCTTACAGTCCTCAGCACACTCCCCTACTTAGGGTAATTAATCCCCACTGCCTTCAATGGCTGGACTTTGTAGTAATCCTTGTAATTAACCCTACGTGAGATACTGCTGATTAGCCAGTTGCTAGAGAGAGTCCCAGCTCCACAAAGGTACTTCAGTGCCTAGCCCCCAGAGTTTTTGGCTCCTCTTCAACACACAAAACTTCAACTCAACTGCTGCCTAAACACAATCAGCACCTACATTCTTTGCAGAAAAAGTTCCCTCGGTGCTTAAGATTCTGCTTCCGGGCACGTGCACTGCGGCCCCACTCCAGGCACCCAGACACCGATCTCCCTTGAACCCCAAATGATCCACAAATCAGATGAAGGGGTGGACAGACCCTATCTTGGCCACAGGCACAGCCAGGTAGGCATGCTCAGACGCTGCCTCCCGGATCGGGTCCCATGCAAAATCTCACAAGTGCTGGTGCTGCCACCTATACCTCATAACTTTTCACCTGGAGGCTAGACCACTTGCCTGGAATGTGGGAGACGCAGGTTCAATTCCCCCTCAGACAGAGAAGGGGGAAGAAAAAGGATTTTTAACAGGGGTCTCCCTCACCACTCAGGTGAAACAGCTTGAGATACTCTGATGTGGCTAGTCCACTATATATAAATCCTCAAAGAGTCATAGAGCCAAGCAGAGTGAGAATGATTCTGCAGCCTGGTTGTCAGGGCACCCACCTGGGAAACCCAGTGTCCAGTCCCCCACACGTATCATCAAGAGGCATAGGAGACCCCAATCCAAATCCTTTCTCCCCCTGTTTGAGGGGGCACTTAAACCTGGGTCTCTCATGTCCCACGCAGGTGCTCTAACTACTGGTGCTATAGGATATTCTGATGTAGGGCTCCCTTCTCTCTTGCTGAAGCTGTTCCACTTCTGTGTAACTAATTAAAGAGTCATTGAAGCATGGTGACTGGACCCTGGGGAAAGAGTCAATTTGAATGAACAGTTTAGCCACATTTCTGTCTGCTGGGGTGTTCCTCAAAGCATTCTGGGAAATCTCTTCTTGAAGGAATACTGCTTTGCTGGTGCTTCCTATAAACTAAAAATCAAAACAAAATAATCCTAATAAACTTTGATTTGGCCACAGTTCTCCTGGTTGGGCTGTCCTCACTGATTCAGGCCAATCAGTTCTTCCACCCCTGGCTTACTGTTCCCCTTGGGGTCACCTTCCTCTGCTGGTATCTCCCTGTTCCGAGAACATATCTCTATGTTCCCATATATCCATATAGATATGTCCCATACCTCTTTCCCAGAGCTGGTCCTGGTTAGTTGGGAGAGACAGGAGCCTTGCCCTGCTCTGTGTTCAAGGCTCCTGGTCCGGGGCCCTGAAAGGGAAAGTAGACCAGGTCTCCCCCCAAACACAAACTATAACCCCAGGACTGCTTCCTCTCTCCCTGTAACTGCCTCTCCTATTTTCCTAGGCTTTTGGGGATCTCAAAACTCTCCAAACCTTAACAGGGGCATTCTGTGGAACTAGGTCTGGCTGATCCCCTAGGCCCCACTACCCTTAAAGGGGACAGATGACCCATTACAACTCCCCACTTCTTTCAGACCACTTTAAGCACTGGTTCTGAGCCAATGCCCTGTCACAGGATTAGGTGGTGACATACTGCTTTCTTATGGATGAGACATAAAGCAAAGGTCTTCTGAGCTTCATGGGCATTTAAAACACCATGGCATTGCTTTGCAGGTGGACAAGCGTTAACCTCAGCATCCCAAAATTCTGGCTTAGGCAGAATCAGATTGTCCATCTAAAGTCCCCACTTAACTTTCACGTAGATACATTCTTCTTCTTCAGTTCCTGCCCTGAACTGTTGTACAACATTGAGTATATCAGGGGTAGGCAACCGATGGCACGTGTGCCAAAGGCGGCATGTGAGCGGATTGTCAGCGGCACTCACACTGCCTGGGTCCTGGCCACTGATCCAAGGGGGCTCTGCATTTTAATTTAATTTTAAATGAAGCTTCTTAAACATTTTAAAAACCTTATTGACTTTACATACAACAATTGTTTAGTTATATATTATATAGACTTATAGAAACAGACCTTCTAAAAACGTTAAATGTATTACTGGCACGCAAAACCTTAAATTAGAGTGAATAAATGAAGACTCGGCACACCACTTCTGAAAGGTTGCTGACCCCTGATGTATATTTTAAACAGCAGCCTCATTTAACTTCAAAGGCATTTCAGCTCAGTCTCCCTTCATCACCCACCACACACAGTGAGTCATCCTAACTACCACCCATGTAACAGTTGATATTTAATCCATCTCGGTCTCCCTGTTTTATTCCGTTGTATCATACAGAACGGAGATTTGCTCTTAAATAAACAGCCATTTACATATAAATGCATATCCTACTTGATATGGATGAGCTTTACAAAAGTATTCCAAAGGATACTCAGGTGATTTTCCAGATTAGTAGCATTAGTCTAAAAGAAGTGCAATTCCCTTTTATGTAGAAAACCAACTTCAGCCACTTCGGGTCAGATTTTTAAAAGGTATTTTAGGCACCTAAAGGTGTAGGCAGGCACCTGGTGGGATTTTCAAACATGCCTAAGCAGGTTAGGCCCCCAAATCCCATGGATTTCAATGCACTTGAGGCAGCTAACTTGTTTAGGCACTTTTATGGTGATCTATAGCTTTAGGTGCCTAAATACCTCTGCAGATCAGGGCCTGATGCTGAGATTAATCCCATATCACTCAAAGCTTATTAATTTCATGTCACCCATATCACTTTTCCTTTTCTTATGCTTATACTTTCATGCCTGGGTTTCTTGGGCATCACCGATAGAAATAAGGAAACTCTTTACTTACCTGGTTACTTGAACCACTTTGAAAACTTTTAATAAAAATCCACGAGTAGGTGTTGGAGGCATAGCTTTGAGAGCTGTCAGGGAAAGAACAAACCGACCTGGCCTACTTGCTTCTAGCCCCACTAGTGGGCACACTGCAAAACAGCAGTGTTAAAGGCTTCCAACCCTGGTCTCTGATACTTCAGGGGAATTCTCACAAATGTGCCTCAGAATGTACCTAATTACAGAATACCTATACAATACTTGACTGTGTTGTATTATAGGAGGACATTTCTCCTCACCCTAGCTCAGTGGTGATCAGTTTATGCCCTGAAGCATAAGGATTTTAAAAATGTTATCCTATTATAATTATGTTATTAATAATGATGTTTATTAAGGTAGTGTGTACCTACCAACCCAGATTGGAGCCCCATGTGTTAGGCACTGTACAAACACAGAGTGGTAGACAGTTCCTGCCCAGAGGAGTTTGCAATCTAAATAGGCCAGGCTACCACATAAAATCAAAATGAACAATGTGATAGCAGCCAATGTCACCACAGTTCCATGATTTTTTCGGGGGCGGGGAGTTAGATAGGGATAAGCTATGACAGCAAACGAGGTGTGTATTCATTTCAAGAGTTTATTCTATGTCCTTGAGCTGGTACTTAAAATGTTTTTGCAGGTTTATCACCTACTGGGAATTAGGTCAAATGGGTTCCATAGTGCTCAGAAGAATTAATTTTATCATTGAAAAATTTACCTGCTCCTTTTCACACACACCCTTTACTGCAAGACATCCTGTCTCTGCCAGTAATTACTATTAAAATATGCCATATGTTCTTGCTGAATACATAAACAACTTAAAAAAACCACAACCTTGCAGATAAAAGCTGTTACAACATAGGAGTTCACAACAGCTAGATCTCTTAATGTCAGCAAATAGCCTTATTAACGAAGAAAGGAATCTCTGCATCTAATCAAAGGAATGACTTACCATTTACAGCCAATAGCACCAATCCTGCCTCATTTCTAAAGGACACATAATATTGATTGGATACAGATCAGCAGCATAACTTGAAAAAAATCCCTGTGTGCACTGTATAGGGCTATCCAGGGAGAATGAAAGAAGAGTTAGTGTGTCAGGTATTCCCTGTTTTATATCTAAATTAACCATCCTACTAAGAAATATAAAAAGTGCTAATTAGGGCCAACATGTTAATCAGTTAAGAAAGGCAACAGCCCTGCCTTTCTATCCTCTTCCAATAATAATAATTTGATTTTAACAAAGGGAATTCCCCACTGTGTGTGTTCTGTTGCTAATTACATGTTCCAAATGGGATGAGAACAACATAATGGCAGATGCTTACACAACGTTTACCCCTGAGCAACTGAACAGACTCAAAAGTAACAGAATTAAGCAAATTTACAGAGAGGTAACTTTAATTGTTGGAGTAAGAATAGGTTAGAGCAAGTTACAGTTTAATATTAACAGCTGTCAGAATTTTCAGACTTAAAAGCCTCTGCACTAATAGCGCAAAACTAAGAGAACTAAACATTTGCAAGAATCAATTACATTAGTAACTCAAGCCCATATCCACACAGGTACCAAAGTCTTGGGTTTAGGAGTCTGTCCCACTTTTAATCTCCACTATGATCCACAAAACTCCCACCAAACTATGGCACCAAATGATTTTAGGCACATAATGTTTCTGAGCACGTACACCGGTGCCTCTGTCTAGCTCTCCAGACACTGTATTTTCCACCTAAACCCCTGAGCAATTCGTGACCTGGGGGGAAAGCAAGTGTGCATCCACCTTAGTTGTGTGCAGGACCCAATCCCATGGGCAGCCTCTGACTGACCAGATTTTAAATGGGACCTGATGTGGTAGACTCTGAGGAGGTGCTGCTGCCATCCACTTTATAATTTTTAACCCAATAGTTAGAGCACTCATCTGGGATGTGGGAGACCCAGGTAAAATTTACCTGCTCTTACGGACGGTTGGTGGTGGGGAGGAGGATTTGAATAGGGGTCTCCCACCTTTCAGGAATGTTCTAATCACTGAGCTCTGGGATACTCTGATGCAGGGCTCCCTCCATCTCTTCTGTTGAAGCTCTTCCACTGTGGATAAACGAGTGATTGGAGCAGGTGGGCTGGCCCCTGGGTCACTCACCACAAGTGTGTGCCTGAGCCGCTGGACTAGAGTCATTCTCACAATCTCTCTTCTCTCTCTGACCCAATGACTGTTGCACTGTGGATACTCAAAAGTCATACAGCAAGAGAAAGAGCACAATTCTATAGTCTACATACAATATCTGAGAGCTCAGTGGCTAGGGCACTCTTCTGAGATGTAAGCGACCCCTGTTCCAATCTGTTCTCCCCTCTGGCAAAGGTGGAATTAAACCTAGGGCTCAAACATCCTAGGTGAATGCTAACCACTGGGCTAAAAGTTAAAAGGTGGGTGGCACCCCCTCTTCCCCAGCTCCTTTGTGTGGACTGAGCCAGGCATCTAACTCATTCCCGCAACCAGATGAATTCCCATTTGGGGATCACTAAGCAGAGATAGGCACCTGCCTCTGACCGAGGGGTAGGATTTTGCACAATCCCCCCCTCATCAGTAGCCCCTTACCTATCGCACTGAAAGACGCCTCTCTCCCCCAATTCATTGTATAGGGAGCGTAAGTGCCTAATTCAGGCTTTGTGGATTGCAGTGGTGTTCCTGTGATTTTCTAGGTGCCATGATGCTCAGCATTGCAATACCCAAGACCCTTTGTGGATCAAGGCTTCTGTGATTCAAATAAAGTATTTGTGTAACAATTTGAGAATTTTTATATTATGTAGGAACTAAACGCTTTTGAAGGGGGTAGTTAAGACAAGTTTAAGATTTCTTTGTGACAAATTTTGCCTTTGGTCTGGAAGGCAATTAAAAAAAGTCTTTTGTAGTGACAAGTATATAATGAATCTGATTCTGCTTACTAAAGGTCTCTCTTCCACCCAAGAGAGCAAGAAAATGTGTAGCTGAATTTAGCATGAGCACCTAGATTATCAAGCTTGTTGTGTCTGGATCAGATACTATTTTTTTCCCCAGGGTGGTACATTTCTTTAGAAAGGGCAGGCCAAATTGTTAGAGGGACTTTTAAAACCATACATAGATACCTACCTTTCTGGAGCAGTTACAACCAAACATGTAATTTCTAGAAAAATTCACTCCTCTCAAGAATCTTAGTAGCTGTGTTTCCAGGAACAAATTTGTGAAGTTAAAGGTGGGAAACTCCTGAAACGTAATTTAACCAATACAGATACAGCTGTTTAAGCATAAAGTTCGAACACCACTCATCTCACCTGAGGAGAGCCTGACTTTTACAGACAGTATTTAGAACAGCTTTTAGGTTTTGGTCTTTGTTCCACATGGCTTGTTTTAAAAAGCATACAAAAAGACATTAAAAAAAATCAAGCAATCTTTTCCACAAGATTCAGGTGTAACCAAGATTTCCATCAAAGCTTCCACACTCACATGTTTTGGAATTCTCTCCCCACTCAATCATCAATAAGCACTTTTCTCCTCAGGACACGTGCCAAAATCATAACTATCGATTTTCCTTTTAGAGAATTAAATAATCCACTTGAGTAGTTTGCCGTTTTATCTCTGCTAAGCTACGAAAGATCCATTAATTACCATCCTCCCTTACTTCCAACTGTATTTTGATCTTTGTATTTTATGCTATTTAATCTGCAGTACTAATTAAAAAGATAGGTATGCAGATGTGTACATTTTAACAAACATCTAAAGTTAAATTATCTGTATTAACTGGCTTATAATCATTCCTGGTGTGCAAGCAATATTCACTTTTCACTGGCCTGGTTATAGAACAAGTGTATTCTTCACTGCCTCAACAAGCAAATGTTTTGAAAATGTGTTATTATTCCAACAAGATTTGCCCAAAGGGTAAAACAAGACAAAACATATGCACGCTGAAGCTTGGTGAAACTTGTGATTGTGATTGTGTGTGTGTGAGTGTTAGTATAATTTCCATAATAAGGACTTAAAGCAATACTCTAGATGGCAAGTCCCAATGCTGTTTCACACAAGAACCCACATGTTTTAATGATTACCGAAGGCAGTCCAGCGAAAGCCTCTACTCAGCACCAACTGTCAAGAGGTTAAGAAATAGCATCTCACATATTCAGTTCCCCTCCTGGACAGTGTGTACATGAATCTAACCAGTATGTACAGCAAGAGGAAATGATATACATTTTGCATGTATACACAGCAAATGCACAATTTAAAAGGAAGTAATGCAATATATGATTTAGTTACAATTTGCCTGTGGGAACCCAAAGGCCAAGTCCAGCCCTCCTTAATGTTTGTGAAATCCGCTGATGTCAAGGGGGCTGCACAGCAGTGACCCATGGCAGAATTTATGCTAGGATGTTAAAATACTCAGATTTCACGGTTGGTTCTTCATCTCTTGCAAACCAATTATTGCTTTTAATCCAAACCAAAACATGTTGTGGAAATTTCATTTTGTTCTAACAACATTTCAGTTATTATTTCAAGTCAGTCAAGGGGAGTTAAATGTTTATATGCAAAAGGTTCACAAGCCAGCTGCTCCTTATGGCATTTCCACTTCAAATCTTTTGTGTTCAGTAGTTTAAACTGAAAGACACAATTAGAATTCTTTTCAGAGATATTTGGCATGTTAGCTCTTCAGCGAAGAGCAAATACAAAAACCAAAACACAAACCAACCCAAAGACAAGTATTATTGCAGAATAACTTTTTGCATTTAATATACTACAGAAGTGAGGCTTGTGTATAGTGAGTGGACTTCAAATTTTAGCTCATCTCTGATTTAAAAGGGAGAAGTGCTGGGGCGGGGAAGGAGGGGGAAGCTCGTATCAAATATAGCCAATGTCTGAATACACAGATAACACAGACCGATGCAGATTTTTTAAAAAAAAACAACATGTTCTATTTTATTATGTTTAGAACATTTAAAAAAAGACCAAAAGGGTGTTTTTTTGTTTGTTTTTTTTTAAAAGAGAACACACTATCAGAAATACTACTATTCAGTAAAAACATACTAGAGTTTACATGAAGCAAATGCATCGTGTGGTCTCTTTTAGCTGGAAAAAGTCATGAAATGTCTTGTGTCTGCCTTAATTTTATCAAAAGTTACTGAGCATTTTATTTGGAAGGGGTGGTGGTTTGGGGTGGGGGATAACAAAATTTTCATGTTTTGAAACTGCCAGAGATTTTGAAAGCTCACGTCAAGGGAGGTGTCTATTTTTTACTGTTCTCAGTTCACAATGGAGTAAGCATGGGAGGGCAAGAAATATGACATTTAAACATTCCCTTGCTTTATATTTCTGCCACACCTTTGGATAAAGTTGTTTGTATTGAACAAAGGCATCAAAGAGCACAGACGAACAAGGACTGAGGCGGATACGAATCCCACATTACATAAACAGCCCTGAGGCTTACCATAACCACAGTAATAGCATTTGAAGCAGATTGAGCTTCTGATCATTTGGAAATGTGCACGCAACTTTTCAGAGCATACAAGAACAACCTGCCTTTTCTCTCTTGTGAAACAGTTACTGTTACTGCAAGAAAGAGAGCAGAGACCACACAGAAGAAGTAGGACCAAGTCCTGTAGCCCTCACTGAGAAAATCTCTTCACAGATTTAAAGGCAAGTTTTCAGTGAGCAAAAGCTGAAGGACTTGGCACTTACTGGAGATATTGCACTTGGCAAAAAGGGAGGCAGCTATAAAAGCAAAGTGGCAACACATGCCATGCTGCTGAACTTTTATCCCTTTTAACACTTCATGCTCTTTTCCTGGCATATGGATAACAACATGACAACTACCTGAAAGACAAATCCATTATTTTAGCCAGAGGAATTTAAGTTAGAGAGAGAGAGAGAAACAAAGCAAAGCAAAACAAACTGTGGAGGGGCTTATGCAATAAGAGGTCTGATCTCGCTATTATGGCCTGGAACAAATGGAGTTTCTTCGTTGGCACCAATGCAAACTGCACTAGAGCATCTAAAAATTTTAATCCCAACCAGTGTTTATTGTATAGAAGTGAATACAAATGCTGCAAACAAAAGTTTCCCCAACAGCCAATTCAATGCAACTTCATTAACATCCAGGGTTGAGATATCAACTCCCTTGCTACATATTTAGTACTCCCTTATGATAACCAAGATCATGGATTTGGAGGAAAACACCTGAGGCTAAGGCAGAGAACTGGAATGGACTGGTGACCCACACAAAAGGTCAAACCCAAGCTGTACTTTACCCAGTCTTCAGCTGAATGGGAGGGGATGCCACATCAGTCACTGAAGGAGTTCCTAGTTAGAACAGACAGAGTAGGTACCTGATATTTCTTATGTAAAAAATTATTAACTTGGGCTGGGGGAAGGAATCCAGCCCATGAAGGATACTATCTTTATATCACAGAGCACTGGTAAAAGACACAAATACTGTCTTTTCCTTTCTAGGTTACTATCAAGACATTCCTCACCCCCAAAGGCCCCTTTAGGTTGGCCACGCTGGTGTTGATACTTTATGATAATCAAGTAGTTAATGCCCAGTATCCTTTGGTGACAAATGATATGGACAAGGAAGATACCAAAAAAACAAAAACAAAAAAAAAAACCCCAGCACATTTTAAACTCAAAACAATACTTTAAGAAGAGACATGAAATAAGCCAATATTTATTCTTTCTTCTCACTATCCTCAGGGGTAGGGTCTGCTGGAGGCTCTTCAACGGTTGCGCTATTGCTCTCTGAACCAGTGTTACTATCACTAGTTCCTTCCTCTGCAGTACTGTCAACCCCTTCCTGGCCACTCTCCTTATCTTCGGGTGTGGACGTTCCTTCTTCGCCGTTCTGCTGGTTCTCTGTAGTTTCTTCTGGGTGAGCCTCCTCTGGAAGAAGACATTTCTCAGTGTCATTTACACCACTATAGTTGACTATGCAAATACATTTTAGGTGCTAGAGAGTTACAGGAGAGAAAGAATTGTCAGGGATATCTGATACTATTTAAGATCAATAATTTACATTGTTTAGAAATTTTTAGTAGTTACTGCTCTGGAAAAATCTCATAAAACATGCATGCATATATAAAGGTACCTTCCACACTACTTCTTAAAAGTACTCTGCAGCCTCTAACCCTAAGAAGAATGGTAGCCACAAATAAAAAAAAAAAGAAAATAAAGCAACAGAACTGCAACTTCCCTACCATGCTCACCTACCCCCAGCTGTTATGACAACAAGCTGTGGTTCAGAATGATGCAGTCATGCTTACAATATCTAATTCTTCCACTAGTGCCACCACTTTTGGTTCGGCAAGCAAATTTGACAGTGGGGGAGGTAAACAAGGGTTAAAGACGATAGGCACAGCCAGGGAAGTGCAGCTTTCCCATGTCTGCTAAAAACAGAGGGAGAGCTCCCTCTCTTCCTTCACTGATGCCGTGAAAACTCCCTGTTTTGTTTCAATCTACATTAATGACTAAAAGATAAGGTGAGATTTAGGGAAGGTTTGGAAATCAAATCTTTTCTACTGGGTGCATCACGCATCCTGCGCAATATGCTGTTTTTGTTGCTATACTTTTTTTCCCTTTTCAAAATTGAGGTTATTTAAAGGTGAAAACCCCCTAAACCTTAGTAATGGCCCTTCCTGCATGTTGTATTGACGTAAGAGAATTCTGAAGCCAGTCTTCAAGAGCTGTTACCTGTCTCCATGGGAGTGCTCTCTTCTTCCTTCTTCTCCTCTGTCTTGTTAACTGCTTGCTCTTCCTCAGGTGCTGCATTAGTTTGACTGCGTTCAGCTTGCTCAGCTGCTTCTTTTTCCCTTTCCTCTTGCCTCTTGCGGGCCTGTTCCTCAGCCTGAGCAATTTCAGCTGCTATTTTTTCCATGTCCACCTCCACCTTCAAACTGCATAACTAGCAATCAGAAGAGAAGAGTCCTTTTATTAATCCAGCACTTCGCTCTCTCAGTTTAGCATTTTGGTGTCAGGCAAAGCAGATACCTTGTGCATTAAGAATGCATTCTGAAACAACCCAGAGGAAAACCTCATTCTGAGTTCAGTAGTTCTGCATGGGACAATGTTTGCACCTTGGTTTGCTAAGTTTAAGAATGTAAAACGGAGAGCTCCAGCAGCTATAGAAGTTCAGTTCTATCACAGAGATCTGTGATAAGACTATGCAGCAAAAACAGAAAAACAATGTAGGCCTTGATCCTCAGCTCTATTCAAGGAATACACAGTGCATTTGAGAAGCATGCACACAAAGGTGGCTTTAAACTATCTTTGCTATCTCTTGACCTTGGGAGCACAGTGCTGGTCTCCTTGACTTCAGTTAGACCAGTCTGAAAGCTGCTTTTAATTATGTTGGCTGCCAATAATCCCACTGGGCCATTGCAGAAGCCTGGAATCACCAAGGTACATGGAAGTCCTCTGGCTAAGACTCACTGCATTCTATAGCTCTGGGGCACTACAAAAAATATGCTAGAATATGAACCCTCTATATTTAAAAGAGCTAGACTGAAGCTGGGCAGAGGACTCTCTTTGAATAATGTGCAACAAGTAGTGTCCTAGAAGGAGAGAGAACATTTTAAAGTTGTACCCTCTTCAGTTCATTGTTAAAGGATTCTGTGCTTTCCAAGAACTTCCTCTTCTTTTCCTGGTGGCGCTCTTCTATTTGCAGGAGCTCAGCTTCCAGTTTTCGCTAAAAATGAAAGTAACCGAGTTATGAAACTTAATACTCAAATATACCAAATACTGGATAAAATGCTTTGATGCATACAAACTATGTAGATCATTTTTTTTATATCCATCTCACCCTTATGGTGGAATCTGACTTTCCTGATTTGATGCTCAATAGCTGAAATGTACAAATGAGGGAAGCCCCCCCCATCCCTAAGTTGTAGCAATAAGAAATCAAAGAAATTGGATGGAATATATTGTGCCTGAAGGAGTTCTAGGCCCTTTACAAAAACAGAAGATGATAGGTGCTTGACCTGAAGAGCTTGCACTCTTCAGACATGCCATCTGTCTTTCTATACATTTAAAGTGTCTAGTGCATTATATGCACTAGTACAATACAAATGAAGATTAAAATGGGAGAAGTCAATCGGATGCAACACATTTTCCCCTTTCTTTTGCAATTTAAAAAGAAATCTTCACTCTTTCTTGTCTCTGCCTAATTTGCCCAAGTGTTATGTATATACATACACGCACAATATATATCAATCAGCGTTGTCTTTTCAATTGGTACACACACACAGGAATCTGTACAGTTGAAGTTAATTGAATGCGTCTTAAATGTGAGTTATTAGAAACTTACTTATGCTTTTAATTTTTCAGTTACAAATGTTAAAAAGGGGGAGATTTGCCACATTAAAAAGATGGCCACTAACAACTACCCAGCTATAGATAACAAGCTACTGAAAGTTACAACTGCACCAATATCTTTAAATCAAAAGCTTTTCTTTACCTGTTGAAGGGTTATAGAACTGCAGAGGACTGTGACGTGATGTATTGTGATAATTAAGAGGTTAATCTACACCTCTTAATCACTACACTTTATCCTTTAGTAGATACAAAATTGTGACATTGTATGATGCATGGGAATCACAAGAAGTTTGGACTTATCCCTTGCTCCTCCCAAAAAACCAGGGAGAGATTAGTTATCTGGGGCATGAAGAATATTGACACTTCAACAAGTACATTCAAGTAGATGATCCAAATGATTTTAAACTTGGAGTCCAGCCCAGAACCATTACATTTAATAAATTTTAGGTAATTAATCTTTACCTGATGAACCATTAAGGACTGAACTTGACGTTTGAGAACTTGCATTCTAGCTGTAGTAACAACGGAGCGGACGTCTGGTACTACACTTTCACTCAGTATCTCACTAATCAGACGGTGGTTCCTCTGAAAACGGGCTGTAGCTGTGTGCTTCATAGAAAATCCATCATCATAATCTGAAACAAAAATTTAACAAGTTAGACAAGTCTCATTAAACTGTATCCTTAAAATACATTGCAGTCTTCAATTCAGCCAGGAACAGAACTGCTGCCATGACAACATGAATAAGTTTTATGTACAAAGATACTAGATTTACAGAGCAGTAAAATAATCAAACTCAATTTTGAGACACAGTATTTTATGTGCTGTGAGACAGCAGAGCATGGGAGCTATGATTTTAGCCAGATCCTACACACAGCTACAAACTGATCTATTCGCTTTAAACAGTAATCAGTGCCTATGCCAACACACTACTTTTCATGTATCAAGAACAAGAGAAAAACACACCACACTGATTATAAAATAAGTTCTGTTATGCCAGAAATTCTAGTACTGAGAAGGCCAATTTTGATTGAAACTCAGACTGAATATTGCTTTTCTGGAAGAAAAAAAACAAACAAAACAGTTTCACATTTGGGATGTATAAAGTATTAGATTAATTTGAAAATAAAATTAAAAGTGGAAAATAGTAGGAAATGTGGCAAAGAGTTATTTCATAGATTTTCAGGCAAACGGAGACCTTTATCATCATCAGCCCTAGAACTGCACCAAGTGATTCCTGAAAGAAGCCCATACCTTCTGTTTTTTGCATCAGAACACAACTTTTAGAAAGCCATCCAATCCTGATTTAGACTTCAACTGACTGAAATTTATAGGTGATGGATTCTCTATTGTTTTACTACCCTTGCTGTTTAAATTTTAAAAGTGCTTAATTTCTACTCTGAATTTGTCTAGCTTCAGCTTCCAACCACTGGATCTTGTTATAGCTTCATCTTCTAGAAGAAAGAGCCTTCTACCATTAGAAAACTACAATCAGCGATATGTGATTTCAGTGTGAGATTGCAAGTCCCCTTCTATGCTGTCAAATGGTGGAGCAAGTTCACCATTGACAAACAAGTATAACCCACTTCAGTGGGAGATGCACCTGGTTATATCCAAGTTGAATTTGACCCAGGTATAAATCAGGTTGAATAGCAGGCTGTGAAATGCCAATTGCTAAAAAAATCCCAGGCACATTCATGTGTTTTACACAGTTTATACTGCATATAGCGGAAAGTGCTATTTACCACGGGAATTATCTCATGGCTGGGCTTGCTGGGGAGGGTGGGGGAAAGAGGATGTAATTGCCTGGCTGCATTTTTCACTCTCAGGTTTCAACAGATAATTCAGTCAGCCTTTTAGCATAATTTTAAAAACTGAAATTGACAATATCTTTGCGTAACTTTTCTCAGTGGGTGTGATATGGATGCCAAAGTGGTATTTCCTTTCAGTTAAAGAAAGCATTTTGACAGTTTCCTCATTAAGTTGCACTTTGTATTGACAAGTTATATTTTGATTGACAGAAGCAGCTGAACTTAAAAAGGCTTACGTGTGTTCAGTCACCAGATGGAATAAGTCAAAAGACAACAATCAAGTAGAGCCTGTCAGAACTACCTGCTGCGCCTATTATTAAAGTACAACATTCCATTCAAGTAGGACTGAGGGAACCCTATGCAGTATAAGGTACTGCGTGGACTAAAATAGGTCTGGATTTTGTCACAGAGGTCACAGAAAATGTGAATTTGAATAAAGTCAGTGAAATCTTATAAATGGTTGTAAAAATACATATGATTAGGCCTCCAAATTAAGTGTTGTTGCCACCTGGTTCTGTGACCCCGTATGCTACGTTGCAAAGCCAATCAAATTTGACCCATTAGCTCCTCCATTTCCATTTACGGAGGGGCAAATGGGACAAAACCTGAGTGGCACTGCAACCCCTCCCCGTGCACAAGGTTACAATGAGCAGAATGGGACAGGAGCTGCTGCTGCATGGTGAGTGCAGCATGAGCTTGCTCCCACTCTTGTGTATGTTGCTGTAGTGAAAGCTACATTCCCGCCCCAGCACCTCTGCTGTGAAATTTAGAATGGAAATTTTTAGCAAAATTGTAGCCTAAACCACAAATAACCAACTTGTCAAGTCTGAAACAGGCATTTTGAAAATATTTTTAACAGGGTTGCTACCCACACCATTAGAGGTTTACAAGAACTTTTTAAGAGTAGCCTGGCTGCTGGTGGTCAACTCAGTCGTAAGCTTAAGAAGAACAGCTGTGTACCTTAACATGTAGTTTGAGGTAAGATGATTCTGAAAGTTAGTACTAAAGTTATACATTTCATGTTTTCTTTGTTATATGGTGTGCAAGTGTTTCCCGTTATAGTCCAGGAGTAAGTCAGTGAACTATTAAGTTTTCAATACTGGAATAAAAACAGCTACCTGAAACTTACTCTAGATTTTATTTCCCATGGTGAAAATATACCTCACCAAAAGTGTATACAAATCTCCTTTCTGCTTACCATCTGGGTCTTCTGCTGGTTGGATGCTCATATAGGGTTCACCTTTCTCCATGCGTGATTGCCTTTGTCGGCTTTCCTCCTCTAACGCAGCCTCAGCCCGACTCTTTGCGTTGATGTAGGCAAGGTAAGCAGGCGAGTTATGGTAGGCCTTCATGGATTCATTGTACTCTATCTGAAATTTGACGGATATTGTTTTATTGAAATAAAAACTTATCTATTGTACCCTGGCAGCCCTGTTTTGCTTATTGACATTTGGGGGGAGGGATAGCTCAGTGGTTTGAGCATTGGCCTGCTAAACCCAGGGTTGTGAGTTCAATCCTTGAGGGGGCCATTTAGGGATTTGGGGCAAAAATTGGGGATTGGTCCTGCTTTGAGCAGGGGGTTGGACTAGATGACCTCCTGAGGTCCCTTCCAATCCTGATATTCTATGATTCTATGATCAGCCCAATGGTCCAAAAGGACAATTTGGTATAAACAATTTGCCTCCCTTTCTACTGCATTTCTCTTTTAGGTACATAGACTGAGAGACTAAGGCCAGAAGGGACCATTGTTATCATCTAGTTGATCTCCTGCACATCACAGGCCACGGAACCTCCCCCATTACTCCTGCAATAGACTCATAACCTCTGGCTGAGTTACTGAAGTCCTCAGATCTTGATTCAAAAAGACTTCAAGTTAGAGAGAATCCATCATTTAAATCTAATTTAAATCAGCAAGCAACCCGTGTCCCATGCTGCAGAGAAAGGCAAAAAATCCCAGGGTCTCTGACAATCTGACCTAGAGGAAAATTCATTCCTAACCCCAAACATGGTGATCACTTAGACTCTAAGCATGTGGGCAAGACCCACCAGCCAGATTCCTGAGAAAGAATTCTCTCTAGGGGAAAGAATTACACAAGAATTACTCTTTCATATTGCTCTTGATTTAGGGTGCACTACTAACTTGAGTGGTGGTGGAGCATCTAGACACAAGAGCCAAGAAGAATTTAATTCTGGGAAGTCTTATGCTATCCTCACTGCTATAATTAAAGATTAAATCTTGCAAGCAATTCTTTGTTTTATCTGTAACTACTGTAGAGTCATCCCATGTTTCCGATTCTATTACTTCCAACTACTTTACACATCTAGAAATTCTGAGAGTTAACCTTGACCCTGATCTCCTCTCCTCCCTCACTCCAATACCTCTTATCTCAGAGTCTGATTATCACCTCCTCCAGGACAGGACCAAACCATTTTTTATTTTTGTCACTTCTATCATCATGTATTGAAATTCTCATTTTTCATTCTTTTATTATGTTCTTCAGTCCATCCCTACACGTGGTTAGGGGTGATCCAGACAGTCTATTTTCTCACTTCAGGTAGCAGAACTGTATCACTCCACCTGCCTACATTGATTTACTGCCCATTTCAACCACTTCTTTAAATCTCACTTTTAAATCTTGCTTTACAAAATCAAAATAAACATTTTCACAGAAATGTAGGGCTGGAAGGGAAGTCATCAACTCGAGCCCCCTGCACTTAGGCAGGATCAAGTGTTTGTTCTTAAAAATTTCCAAAGATGGGGATTCCACAACCTTCCTTGGAAACCTATTCCAGAGCTTAACTACCCTTACAGTTAAGTTAGATCTCAAGAAAAACTTTCTAAGTCTCTCTTGCTGCAGATTAAGCCCATTACGTCTTGTCCTACATTCACTGGATGTGGGAGAACAATTGATCACAGTCCTCTTTCTAACTACCCGTAATATATTTGAAAATCCCTTCCCCAGTCTTCTGTTTTCAAGACTAAACATGTCCAGCCCATTTAACCTCTCATATAGGTCAGGTTTTCTAAACCTTTTATTGATTTGTTGCTCTCCTCTAGACTCTCTCCAATTTATGCACATCTTTCCTAAAGAGTGGTGCCTAGAATTCGACATAGTACTCCAGCTGAGACCTCTAGTGCCGAGTACAGTGGGACAATCACCTCCCGTGTTTTACATAGAATGCTCCTCTTAATACACCCCAGAATGATATCCTTTTTTTCAATTGCATCACATTGTTGACTCATATCCAATTTGTGATGATCCACTATAATCCCCACATAATATTCTGCAGTACTACCGCCTAGCTATTTATTCCCATTTTGTAGCTGTGCATTTGATTCTTCTTTTCTAAGTGTAGTACTTTGCACTTATCTTGGTTGAATTCAGTTCTCCCATTTGTCAAGGTTGTTTTAAATTTTTTTCTTGTCCTCCAAAGTACTTGCAACCCTTCCCAGCTGGGTGTCATCTGCAAATACTTGCGCATACTTTCCACTCCACTCCATTATTCAAGTCATTAATGAAAATATTGAATAGTCGGAACCAGGACTGACCCCTGTTATAAATACACCGGCCCAGTCTGACAACAAACCATTGATAATTACTCTTTTGAGTATAGTCTTTCACTTGTTTTGAGATGCTCTGTATTAAAGGTCAGTTATACGGTATGATATTGCTGTATGTACCTGAAGGTGTCTTTAAACTTTTACTAAATTAGTCCTTTTTAGTGAGTTAAAAGTAGGAATCCTTGATTTCGTTTCAAATGGCAGAAACCCAATTTAAAATAATTTTTCTGTTGGTTAAAAATAGTAAAGTGATATTTTGAATGAAAACAGTTCTAAGCACCTATTTGACCAGATTACCTATGACCTCAGATGCCTGAAATTTTAACACAACACAATAAATGAACAAGAGATGTCAAACGAACAGCTTGTAACTGTCCTACATAACTTTGGATATCTATTACTGTAGCAGCCTTGCAAAACTTTAAAATTATCAGCAGAGACACAAAATATATTATTGCCCTTTGTCATGATGATCAATAATGAAAAATTAATGATATTTTACTTGCCCATCAAAAAACAAACAACAACAAAAACATTCTGGCAGAGTAAAGTTTTGCAAGGCTGTCCCATAAAAACCAATTCTTATATACATATTCATAACTGACCAGCTGAAGCTACAGAGAATCAGTTTTGTAAGAGGATTTAGGTGTGGAAAAATCGAGTCCACTCATAGTTAAAATTCCTATTCAATATAAACATTTCATTTTGAGTATGGTCTAAAAACTGAAGTCCCTGTTGACATATGATTATTATTAAGATGCTTATCAATATACATAGGGCTTAGTAAATGATATACACATGCCACCATATAGGAAAGATGAAATTTGATTCTCAGAGTAGTTTCTAGAAGAAAAACATCAAACACCACAGGATGGAGGACATATTGTGGGGAACAATCCTGGAAAGGACTAGATGACCTAAGAAGTTATTTTCTATTTATATGTACTGTGAAATGTTAAAAGGTCCCAATTCAGTAAGGCATTTAAGCATATGCTTAACTTAGAGCATGAGAATACTCCATTAACTTCAATGGGACTACTCATGCTTAAAGTTGGGCACTTGCTTAACTACCTTGCTGCACCAGGGAACAAGCTTAACTCTTCTGTGACAGTTGTGCCAGGGACATAAGATGGGAGAATCAGCATTAATAACAAAAGATTTCATCCCTTACCTTTTCTGCTTCATATTCATTCAAGTACTCTTGCTTCTCCTCATCAGTGAGATCTCGCCACATCCCTCCAATGATCTTGCCAATTTCCCATAACTTCAAGTCAGGGTTGGATGCCTTCACTTGATCCCAGACCTTAACAGAAACAGCTGGAGCTTTACTACTGATATGTAAACACTTCAAAATTAAATGTTTTATGGTATCATCTTAGTATACTTTCAGAAAAGATCACTATAAAACAAAACTGTATTAAGAAAAAGTCTGGCTACCTCCAGTGATTACTTTTTGGGGCAGGAAGACAATAGTACAGTCATCTACTGAAACTGGCAACAGCCTGATTTATTGACAACAGCTTCAGTTGTGAATCTTGCCCTTAAATCTGTGAATTCTATTCTAAAATGCACATCACTGTATCTCTGGGAAAAAATTAAACATATTATCATGCAAACATGTCCAGCAGCATTTATGTTCAGATACATGACAATGTGCATTGAATTTTTAAGATGAGAACTTGGACCTTCCTGTATTCAAAAAGTTTTCAGTCATGTTGATCAATTGCAATTCCAAAAAGTTCTGATTCCATCAAAAACCAGTTTCTAACTTTATATAAAAAAGAAAGCTGCCAGTGTTATTACTTGCCATGTGTGATTAGGAATACTATTTGACTTGATATGCAGCGGTGGGAGGGCTGTTGACTTAATTCAGACTGCTGGTAAAGACACTTTACTAGAAGCAGGAAGGCATGTATATTTCCTTCTGGCTCACCCACTCCTTGAAACTGGATCACACACCCTTCCCAAGCCGAAGCAGATTCCAGACTCTGCACAATACTCCCATTGCCTCTCAAACAGTTTATAAAATAATGAGGTAGTGCTGCAGGTTAGGTAGGTGAACACACACATTCCTCCCACTGCTACTCTTCAGGTCTAGCTACGCCACTGTACTATACAGAGGAAGTTCCGACAATACGTAGATCCTTGACAGCAGGGGCAACGGTAGTAAACAACCATTTCAAAGAAAATCTTAATTTTCCCTCCCCTAACCCTGTAGATAAAAAAATATGTAACAGGAAAATTGAGGGTGCTGACCTTTTGTTTGGGGGATAATTTTTGTTTTCCTAGAAGGTGGCATATGTTTAGACCATTGTTACCATTATTCTGATGGGGAAAGCAACTGTGTTTTAAAATTCCCTTGCTGAATAAGTAATCTCTGCAGGTTGTTAGAATTTAGAATTGTTGTTAGAATTAGAGTTTAGAAGTTGGAACTAAAATAACTAATCAATTGTTGGCATAAACTTAACCTTTAATGCTACTTATTCAACCTAAATCCAAAACACTGGGTACCCACCTTCCTGCTGTACCTCATGTAGGGCATCAGAGGCTTATCTGGTGGCTTTGGGGGTTTGGGAATTGTAATACCAGAGGAAGCCTATAAAAGAAACAAAAACAAAACGGATAAATCCATTTCTTAACATGAAAACTAGGCAACTTCAATACATAGCAGTCTGGGAATATAAATACTCTTGTATATTAAATACATGTACAGGTACTATAACTGGTCCTCATAATAATTTGCCAAATTCCCCCTCCCCTGGCCCCAAATGTATTTGTCCAAGTATTAGTTTGAAAAAGGTTACTAAATAAAAGTCCAACAGGGGACAATTTTCTAAAAACCAAAAGAGACAGCCTCAAAATTTGCTTCTGTTCACCGGCTCCAACAGCTTGTTTTCTCAATTTTGATGAGAATGACTGTTATGGTACCTGCTCTGACAACTAAAGAAATTACTACTGGAAAAAGGATAAGGAGAAAGTGTGAAAGAGCAGGAAATTATCTAGACATTCTTTCATTCAGTCCGTTTTAGAAATACACTTCTTCAATGAAATCTTTCAATGGGAACTTGGGAGTCAATCCAAATATTAAAAAACGTCCCTATGAGACTGATCCCTCAACCTGTGCATCATCTGTGTCCAAATTGCATTGTTCTTGTCCAAATTAGATTGTGAGCTCCTTGAGAGACCTTGTCTTCCTTTACGTTTGTACAATGCCAAGCACGTTGCCTGCACTTAAAAAAAAAAAAAGAAGACACTAAACAGTAAGTGTTATTGATTGAAAGCTGTAGCATCCACTTATTCTTCTGTTCTCTTCCACCTACACACCATCTCAGTTAAAAATAGTGCATTTATAATAAGACAAGGTTTGTTCCTCCTGGAATAGTATACTGACATCATCTAGTTTATAACAGCTGTAGATTCTAAAGGCCTCAATCCTGCAAACACCCGTGAGCAGTTCCATGGGACTATTTTCACATCTAAAATTAATCAGGCTCAAATAAGTATTAACAGGATTGGGGACTGAGGTTCCAAAAATACTTGAAAATGGCCAATAAGGTTATTGTTCAGTATTTTTGCTTTCAGTATTTTTAATCCGGATATTTTTATGTTTCACTACATACATGAAACAATGCATACATACTTGCATAGAGTTATAATGTACATGAGGTGTATGCATTACCAAATGTATACATATATACACACAGAGATGGATTTGAAAAACATTAACTGAAACTGTTTAATGCTTTTAAATTAACAGGAATTTAAAGATACCATACATATTAATATATGCATGGCAGAGAAAGCTGTGTATGCTTATGACATACAGAAACAATGAAAAGTCTGACAAATCTAACCTATTCATGTATTCAGTAACATAAATGTAAGTTCAGACACTACGTTCAATCAAACGCCAGCTCATACCTTCACTAAAGGGCAAGGGGGTCTTTTCTTTAGGCACCTTATTAAACAAGCTGAATTTATGGAGTTTAAAAAGGTATACTGCATTAAATGGCAACATCTATGGATTAACTGACAAATTCTTATTTGTATTACACTCTGAAGAGACTAGAAGTTGTGTAGATAATTTTTTTTTTACACCTTTGCAAAGAAATTACACAAAAATTAAAATGATCATTTTTAAATTAATAATTTAAAATAGTGTAGGTCTACAGTTTTTACAGTAAATATTAGGCGAAAAGTGTGCATTTAAAAATTTTATTTTCTTTCTTGCTTGTATGTGAATCATGTTCTGCATCTTCACTCAAGCTCAGAGGTACCCCGTATCAGTACATTTCCTCCCACTTTATGCCAAGTATTTCTTAAAGGGTCTACAAAGCATCCACATTTCATCCAGCCATGGAGGACAGAAAGCAGGCTCCCTCATATTTTATTGACACCACTCATTTGGTTGGAGAAGTCACTGTTGAATCTGGAGATCTGATACTAACCATACAAAGTAAGACTGGAATGGAAAATAGAAACATGGGTTTCTTACATGGCACAATAGTGCGATGTAATCACCAGTTACAATTTCTAGTTTGGAACTTGCCTTTCCTCTCGTTCCATACCTATAATCTCAATAAAATGTATAATTCCCTCCCTCCAAGAGGAAAATATAATCCACACCCATATTTAAGAATCTTTCCTTAAATGTGCAGTGATCACTGAGGCGTCAAGCCATGGAATTCCAAAAAGACAGACTTTCCACATCTCAGATGGGAATAATAGATCTCTCTCGATCTATTAAATCAAAGCTTATTTTCCAGTACAAGGCTTCACAATGAAAGGGGGGAGGTAGGAGAGGAGAGAAGATGGGGAAAAAAAATCCGAGTTAATTTTTTCTCTTTATAAAAGTGGCAGCAGCCAAGATTCAGAAGAACCTAACTCTAAAGCCATTTCTGGTCAATTCCTGTTGTTTGCCGGATGATGTAATAGTTGATTCTCCTACCGTGACCCGGCTGTTGGTGCCCGGGTTCCCTCCCAGCCTGTAGTTGTTGTAGGCCAGATGGCTGTATGGATTGTATCCCACAAACCCTGGTGTGCTGGGCATTTGCTGATGGAAACAAATGAGACAAAAACACGAATGAGAAATGAGCTCAAACGAGGAAAACACAGAAATGAAAATGATCTGCAATATGGCATGCAAAAACAACTAGAATTTAAACAAGCAAATGAGGTGTAGTAGTTGGTTTCCTCTCAACATGTGAAGTACTCCAACAGAAATCTGTTCAGGAAACAGGATTTTTAGATGAACGTGTTACTATAAATTCAAAACTGTCATTTGATGTTTTATTATCAGGTGTGCAAACTTTTAACATGAGTGTGCTGTATAGCCTGCTTATGGCTATTAAAGTTTGCAGACTTTTCATAAGTGGCCAAACAATTCAGGAAGAATCTAGTATCCAACGAAACAAAATAATTTAACATACAAAGCAATACAGTGCATACGATTATGTGGAAATCACCAACATCATTCATTATGTGCACCAATGGAAGCACAGGCTATTGGACAAAAAAGTAAAAAACCCATTGATACTGATAGTAGTAGAACAGTGGTTCTCAAAGTGCAATCTGTGGACCAACAGTGGCGTATGAAGCCATTCCTGCAAAATTAAATGTTTTAGACATTATGCACCAGGGGGTGCAAGGGGATTTGATTAGAAGGCTGGAAGAGAAGGTGATCCATAGAGGTATCTTTCCCTCATGAAGTACTCTGCAGAATTAAAGAACTGGAGAACCACTGCAATGGAATATACATGTTAGATACATTTTTTTGTAGTTATCAAATCACTATTTAAATTGCTTCTAAAACAATTACATAATTTAATTAACATGTCCATATCCATTCCAGCAATTAAATTCAGTAGGTCAGTTTGTGTACATGTCTGTAATAGTGTGGGTCATTAAAATTTGGTTTCTTAGGGATTCATTCTACTCATTAAACCTTCAACTGTTACTGTCTCATTCTCTGTCTTTCTCTCTTCGAATTAATTTCCGTCTTGCCCCTTCTCCCTGTTCCCTTAGTTTCTTTGTTAGAAAACCCCCCACAGCTGTTTCACAGTGAGCTAGTCCCACCCTCAACTGTACTGGTGGTACCACCCCACTATAATTTTTCCTTTACAAATCTTTGTATTTTACCCTACTCTGTTCCTTGATGGTTTTAAACCTCAGCCATGCAGTGTCTAGCCACATTCTTCAGCAGAGTTGTGGTCTTAATTAGCAACACATGCTGGAATAATGATTTAAGGGGTCTCAAAGTACACTCTGTCAGTGGGATGTATTAGACTGCTGTTATAAACACAGTTAAAATGGAGTTCAGTGTTCATAAGAATCAAGACGTAGAGGCTCCATATCAAAGGGAAGAGTCTTATAATCGGAAGTGCACGTTCACTTTATAAACACTTCAGTGCAAAAATACATTGACACACTGCGGTCAATTTACTTTGACACAGAAGACACAGTATCTGATGAAGTGAGCTGTAGCTCACGAAAGCTTATGCTCAAATAAATTGGTTAGTCTCTATGGTGCCACAAGTCCTCCTCTTCTTTTTGCAAACACAGACTAACACGGCTGTTACTCTGAAACAGTAGTAAAGTTACACCTTACTTGCCAATCTTTAAACATTAATGTGTTTTACTGTTAAGCCTCTCAAACACAAGCAAAGCAGTTGCCATTTATTCAAATTTGTCATATGTAACTACTGTATGTAAACTCACTTTTCAATAAGCAGCCATTTCACTACAAGATCAGCACTGTATGAAATATGCCTAAACAAATTTTATTAGATCTCTCCTCCAAAATAACTGGACGCTATGATGTACAGACCTTAAGTCTTTATGGTTGCAAAACAGACAAATCCAATATTACAAAAAAGAAAAACACCACAGAAATGTTTATTTCATGCACACTGTCTCAAGTAAAGTGGATTAATGCCATTTTCAGTACTAACCACAGTAAGATTTGGTAGTGGAGGAAAAAGGCAACAGATGTGTCTGCTTTTCTGTTTTATCAACTACATTCATAGAGCGTAGATGAGATTCTCAAGTACTGTACATGAAGTACCGTGAGTAGTACAGATAGATGATGTACATAAGATAGGCAACACACATTGCTAACTGCACATCTGAGATCACTCTTTAAAAGACATGCTTATTTGATTAAAGAAAGTAGCACATCTGAAAATGAACATGAACAAACAAACACTGAATTCATGGAGAGCCCCACTGAAATCAATTGTGTTCCAAACATATGCAGGGACCTGCGTGCACAGATCTGATTGCAGGATCAGGGACTGTCGCATCAATCTGAATAGTAATATAAAACCAAGTAAGGTATTTGCAGAGCAAAAAAAAATTTTTAAACTTTGGACTCAAGCTGTTACCCAAACTGGCACACTTATGCAAAAATAGTCCGTCCCACCCCCGCAAATTTATATGGAAAGTCTACAAATTTCTTTGACACCAATTATATATTTCCTGCTCTCCAACCTCTTTAAATGTGGATTTTTGTTTAATAATAAAAAAAGTTACATATTTCCTATTTTGTAGTCACTGTCTACAGGACTGAGGAAAAAGTAGATCCTAAGAGCACTAATACAATTAAAAGGTCTGTTGACATTTTCTTTGGCAAGCTATTTCACTTGTGCCTCAGTTTACTCTTCTATAAAATGCGGATAATACTTTCCCGTCCCCACAAAGTGTTGTGATGTTTAAATTTGTAGAGTGTTCCAGTCATCGGATGCAAGTTGTTATAGAAGTACAAACATATTTTCAGATGCTTTCCTGACCACATTATGTCAAGAAAGATTGAATATTATATAATAAAATTTTCCAGGTAAATCCTCAACAGATTGATTCCTTTGCAAACAGAAGTACTTACTTTATACTATGTGAGAAACTTTATTCACACAATGCTCACATTACACAATACCATGGATTTCAATAAATTTAAGATTTTCATCATGAGGGTTCCATTATTCTGACCCAATATAAATGAAAGTTTGCATAATTCTACATAACTGTGTGAATGCCACTGAAAAACTATAAATACAAATTTAAACCTACTGTAAAAAGTACAAAAAAGTATGTTAAAAACTTGGACATTAAGCTTTTAGAGGCAATAAAATTTAGAATTAAGTATGCTACTTAGTCCTTAGTTTACTGTTATATCAAATTGGAATATTTATAATGGATACATGGTTATCAGGCCCAAAGCCTAGAAACATTCACCCCTGTATTTAACTTTACTCATGTAGGTAGTCCCACTGTCTTCAGTGTAAAGTTAAACACAAATTTAAGTGTTTGAAGGATCTGGCCTTAAGTATTGAGTGAGTCTTATCCCAGTTTCCCCACCCCTTTTTAAAATTTAATTTAAATGCTGAATGTCATTTCAACAGTTCAGTGCAAATAGTCTTATGTTCATAATATTTTAATATTGGTAGCTATGACTACCAAATTATTGTCTTAAAAGCCAGACTACCAGATTTGTGTTAATGAGAAAATTCATTATACTTACGGTTGTGGGAGCAGGGGTGGGAGGTGGGGCATAGGATGGCCTTTCTGTTTAAAAGACAAAAGCAAATACATAACTTCCTGACAACTCAGATATATTATGCATACGGTATCCAAAAGTGTACTAGGCACAACAATAATTTGGTAAGAAACTTATGATAACAAGACAGATCCCTGTCCCAAAGAGTTTACAATCTACATTGACAAAACAAAATAAAAAAAAAAAAGAAAAAGAAAAAAGGGATGGAAGAAGAAGAGATGCATTTTAAAAAAGGTGACACCAGTGTCAGGTTACTATTCTTTTATTTAGATGTACTGGGGTAGGGAGAAATGTAGGAAGAGAATTCAAAAAAACTGTGCTAGCCACCATGGAAATTAAAGCATACTAGATTTTCTTCAGAGACAAGGAAATGGATTTGAAGTGTAGAGTTTGACATGTAACAGTATGCTTTAGGATGAAATAATTGTAGGCTAAATTCTACATTCAGTTGTGCAGCTCACCCCCTCCCCAAGTGGTTTAATTCATGGCTTTCGGTAGCATATAATTGGCATTAAATAAAAGCATGGAGAGGGAGCACATCTTTTCCTACTTCATTTAGAAGTTGCACAAGAGTAACTGAGTGCAGCATTTACACAATTTATCTTTATTAAAGAAGGAGCAAATCTCGTCCCTTGGTGTGGAAGGTCCTGCCCATTGGAGGGGGAAATTGTGGGGACAATAAGTAAGGGAGTATGAATCCCAAAGCCTAACTCCATTGGTGATCAGCGCATGCCACTGAGGTAGGCATGATGGGATGCGTCTTCTGCCACTATGGAGGACATACCCAGACAGCAGAAACTATTCCAGCCTTAAGACTGGAGAAATGGCTACAGAGCAATTCTGCAGCTTGTCAGGTAGGATGCTTGTGTGTTTCTTTCATCTTTTGGACACTTAAAGAAATCCTCAGTGCACAGCCCTGGCTGTGAACTGTGGCAATATCTAGTACCAACTGATTGGTAGTTCACTTATAATTACTGTATATGATAACATTCCTCTTAAAATGAGCCTGGTCCAGTAGCCCTTTTTCATGTGACAGCAATGGGATTATTCATATAAGTAAAGGCTGCTGAAACAAATCTTTACTTGTTAAATTAAAAAAAACAAAAACACAACAAAAACGTACTTGACATTTTGGTATATAAATTTTCAGCCAGCTGACATTATATCTCAAATTCTGAAAGACAAAAAGAGAACACAACGTCAGACTATTAAACAGAACAATTTTTGTTTTCATGAACCATTAAAACTAAGACCATTATAACTAGAGCATCTGCTTTTCAGGGTTTATTATTTTCATTTTTGGGGGGTTATTTTTAGCAATTTTGAGGTTTTATGTATATATGTCCAATCAGTTATTTTTTTGGGGGAGGGGCACCTCTTTGTATATACTGTAATGAGTAATCTGTGTAATATTTCCTAATGTGCTTTAATGTAGAACAAACAAATAGCATGTTAAAGCACACAAGGGAACCTTTAGCACACACCAGCACGGTCTACATAGACCAGGTAATGTGAGTATGCTTTAGAAATCACAGCCCTATAATGTGTACTGCTGCTATGTGTAGACAAGGTCTTAGATACAAGTAAGCATTTCCAATGTTTTTCCACAGTTTATTGGATAAACACATATATATATATTTTTTTTGTATCTGGAGTGTTTTATTAATGTTTAAGAATATAAGAATGGCCATACTGGATCAGACCAATGGTCCATCTAGCCTGTCTTCAACAGTAGCCAGTACCAGAGCTTCAGGGGGAACATACAGAACGTGGCATTTGGAATGATCCACCCTTCTTCCTCTCCCGGCTTCTGGAAATCAGAGCTTTAGAGCTGCCCTGAGCAAGAAATTGCATCTCTGACAATCTTGGATAATAGCCATTGATGGAATTATTCTCCATGAGCTTACCTAGTTTTTTTTTTTAAACCAGTTATACTTTTGGCATCACAAAATCCCCTGGGAATGATTTCCACAAGTCAATTGTGCACTGTGTAAAAGAGTATTTCCTCCGGTTTGTATTAAAGTTGTTCTTTACTGGCTAAAACCTAACTTAAGGAGCCCTAATTATAACAATGTATTGCAGGTAAATTCACAAATTTGTCAGCTCTGAAGTGAAAGAAAATAAACAACTTCCCAGAAACTAGGCCTACATTTTCTTGTAGTGACTGATGAACTTTTTGTAAACTAGCTTGGCCCTTAAGGCTGAACTACTAGGATTAAATAAACAACTCTGAAACTGAAATCCAAGGTTCGTCTGATCTTCCTTGTAAAGATTTTACTTGTGCATCACTTTTAATAAAAATTATAGTACTATATATTGGATTTCAATTACTTGTCTTATATGGCTGGCTTCAAGGACTGGATATGAATACAGGAGTGTGCACATATGGTATCCTAAACAACAATATAAACAAGTTCATAGTAATACATTGTCACATGGCTAAATTGCACATCAGAGTAACAGGAAAAGCAAGTGTACCTGTTACAGCTAGTAATGTCATAGTCAATGGAAGCTGGGATTGTGCAACCTGTTGCAGGAGTAAACCCATACATGTAAAATGCTCTGTAAAATAACAGCAATATCCTGCTGGCCTCTCTCATGAATTAAATCCATTGAAGACTTAAAAGAGCAAGATTTGGGCCAAATCCTGTAAATGCTCAGCATCTGACATTATTAATGTTTATGGCACCAAATACTAAGACTGCTATGCACATGCTTCAATTTTGAACTTGTGATTATTTCCACACATAATGGACAACTTATGCATGTAAAATTCCAGGCATGCTTGAGTATTTGTATGCCCAAGGCCTACAGATAGACTGCATTGTTGACAACACTAGACAACCCTTACTAAAGAAGTTGCCATTCCCACACAAAGTCCAATGAAAAGAATGCTTACACAGATCAATTTAAAATGCAGACCCTGCTCCAGAGCAACAGAAAGATCTAATTACTCATCCAATTTTGGAGAGAGTAGGAGGGAATGTGATAAATACACAAATATAATATTTAATATGCAATTCCACTGCCCCCCCCCTTTTTTTTTTAAAGAGGCAGCAGATGCTAAGCACTCTGGTGACTCAGGTCACTTCTAAACACAGGGTTTCAAACCCTGATCATTTCAATCAGTAACATGGTACCTTAGAAAACCAGACCCACTGCAAAAAAAATGCCTAACTACAGCAGGGGAACTTGCTTAGAGGAGGATAGTACCGGCCTCCTCCTCTACCACTTTTGGGATCCATGTTGGGGATGGGGAAAGAAATGTTTTTAACTACCTTTCTTCCATCCCCCATGGAGGGGGTGTGAGGTAGCTCCCCCTCCCCCTAGGAGGTGCGTGGGTGGGTGTGGTGGGGGAGTAGCTCCCCCTCCCCCTAGGAGGTGCGTGGGTGGGTGTGGTGGGGGAGTAGCTCCCCCTCCCCCTAGGAGGTGCGTGGGTGGGTGTGGTGGGGGAGTAGCTCCCCTTCCCCTAGGGGGGGCGTGGGTGGGTGTGGGTGGGGGGGTAGCTCCCCCTAGGAGGTGCGTGGGTGGGTGTGGGTGGGGGGGTAGCTCCCCTAGGAGGTGCGTGGGTGGGTGTGGGTGGGGGGTAGCTCCCCCTAGGAGGTGCGTGGGTGGGTGTGGGTGGGGGGTAGCTCCCCCTAGGAGGTGCGTGGGTGTGTGTGGGTGGGGGGGTAGCTCCCCCTAGGAGGTGCGTGGGTGTGTGTGGGTGGGGGGTAGCTCCCCCCTAGGAGGTGCGTGGGTGTGTGTGGGTGGGGGGTAGCTCCCCCTAGGAGGTGCGTGGGTGTGTGTGGGTGGGGGGCAGCTCCCCCTAGGAGGTGCGTGGGTGTGTGTGGGTGGGGGGGTAGCTCCCCCTAGGAGGTGCGTGGGTGTGTGTGGGTGGGGGGCAGCTCCCCCTCCCATGGGCGCGAACGCGGGGGTGGGGATCGTCTCCGTCTCTCTCCCTCAGCCCCTCCCCACCCCCCTTCGTAGGCCCAGGCTGCCGCCGAGGGGGCTCTGTGATTGCCGGGGCAGAGGCCCCCGCGCTGCAGGCCCCGCTCACCGCCCAGCCCCGCCCCTCGCCGCCCCTCCGAGACTCACCCGCTCCGGCGCCGGCCTCGGCCCTTTGTTCCCAACCAGCACCGGTCTCCCGGGTGCCCGGGCAGCGGCGACTGGGGGAAGCCGCCTGCCCTTCCGCCTCAGCACATTCCACACGGCGTCCCAGCTCCCCCGCTCTTTTGCTCCCGCCCCGGGTTTACTCCGAGCCAGGCACCTCCATACACCACCGGGGGATTTTTATCGTTTACAATAAGGGCAGGGGGAGGACGGTTATTCTGTGGCGAATCTGAAGAGCCGAGCGGGTAAAGAAAGCCAAGAGGGGAACAGCTTCGCCGGGCCGGAACGCACGCCACGTGACGCGACGCGACGCGCCCACAAAGCGAACGGAGTGACGTCAGGAGAGCCTAGAGACGTGTCGGGCGGAGGTCAGGGGCCAGGGAGCACGTGATGCGCGCCTGCTGGGCGGGGGCGGGGTGGCGCTTGAAGCGTTGGTCCCTCCCGGCCTTTACAGTTCGTCTCGCGCCTTCAGGGCCAGCTGGAGGGCGGGGGGAGGAGCTGGGTTTGGCGCCTTTTTCTCTCTCGCGGCTGTTGGTCTCGCGCCTCCCGCCTGGCAGCCGTCGCCCGAGGAGAAGGCAGCGGGTTGGGTTGGGCGCCTTTTTCCTGCCTGCTAGCGCTGCCCCTGGGCGTCCCCTTCCGTAGGGTCCTGTCAGGCCCCGCTTCGTTCCTCAGGAAACAGCGGATGCGGGCCCGGCAGCTCTGCCCTACAGACCTCTGTTCCCGTACCCCACTGCTCCCTGGCACGCAGCGCTCATTATTAACATTGGGAGCTAGGTGCCCCGGCATGCGGTACTACCGCGCACGCTTCTTGTTATAACGCAAGGTGCCCTGGCACAGCTGCCATTACAGGAGGAAGCACCCAGGCATGGGGTATTGCCACGCGCGGTTATGATTATAATGCGAGATGTCCCTGTGCCGCGTAGGGTTACTGCTGTAATATGAGACGCTGCGTCAGATGCCCCTATCGTAGGGTTATTTTATAATCCGAAGCTTGCCCCACTCAGCTAGTACTCTGAAAGGAGGTGCCCCGAGTGAGGCAGTGTGGACATGGCGACTGTTAATTGTATGAATTGATACAGAGTCTGAAGCAAAGTATGGGGCTTGGTGCTGGCAGAAATAAGGCCAGGACCGGCTCTAGGCACCAGCAAAGCAAGCACGTGCTTGGGGCGGCACAATTCCAGGGGTGGCTTTCTGGCCATCCTTTTTTTTTTTTTTTGGCTTGGGCAGTGGTGCACTTGAGATGGCAAAAAACCTAGAGCCGGCCCTGAATAAGGCCCTGCGTTTTCTCTTAGGCGTTCACAGTTTGTCTAAATCAGACCGTCACTGAAGAAATGTCACTTTTGCAAACAAATAGAAGGACAAGGTCACAATCTGTGGCTACAATGAAGACTTGCTCAAGTACAAGGGATAAATCCATGACTTGCATTTGGCTACTAAAAGACAAAAGGAACCAAAAATACATGTTTTATGATCAGCTGCATGAGCTTCTTTTTAAACCACCATTTTTACATCGTCAGAAAATTTATGAGAAAAAGGTGAGAAAATATCTTTTTATATGTGAAAAATATCCTTTTACTCAGGTTTTGCGTGCTGTTGGTAAAGGAGTCCATGGAGCAAAGTGCAGGTTGCACTTAGTGTTCGAGGTGGGACTACCATCCATGAATCCTGGCTTTCAGTCTTGGGTTCACACCATTACACCACACTTTTCTCTCCAATCTAGCAATAACATGATTTTGGTAATATGAAAAAGCTAAAATGTTGAAAAAGATGCCTTAGATATGGTCATATGAGTCTGTTTCTCATTGGCATTTGTATACTCTGGTCCCAAGTGTGTAATCTGTACATGGTTGAGCATTTAACTCATGAGAGTAGTCCCACTGGAGTTAGTGGGACTAACTGTTGTGAATAAATGTAGAACAATGCAAGTAAAAATTGCACAATTGGGCTTTCTGGTATTAATCTGTAAAGCTTTTTTTGTTAATGGGCTCATTTCTACCACACTTAATCAGACTGAATAGTACTCGATACTGCAAGCATTTCCCCTAGTCTTGAGAGGCCTACAAGCTAAGTAATGCACAATTTAAAATGAGAAGAGTTGGCAGAATCTGTCATAATGGCCATGGATGACAGCTATCATAGGCTGGAGGAGGCTGTGCCTCCCCAAACAGCCAGGTCTGGCCCCGCCCACACTCCACCCCCAGCAGGTCCCCTCCTGCTTCCTAGTCTGCGGCTCCCTCTGTGCCGTGGCCCCGGCTCAGGCTGGGGCTGCGCCGCCCATCCTCCCAGCGCTCCAGAGCTGTGGCCGAGCCTCCTGTTCTCCCAGCGCTCCAGGGCTGCGGCTGAGCCGCCCGTCCTCCTGGTGCTCCAGGGCTGGGGAGGTTGGCGCTGTGCCGCGCTCCCTCCTGACATTCCGGGGTTGCGTCTGCGCCACCCTGGAACTGTCATGGGATAAGAGGGAAGGTCCTCTCATGGATTGGTAACTGGTTAAAAGACAGGAAACAAAGGATAGGAATAAATGGTTAGTTTTCAGACTAGAGAGAGGTAAATAGTGGTGTCCCCCAGCGGTCTGTACTGGGACCAGTCCTATTCAACACATTCATAAATGATCTGGAAAAAGGAGTAAACAGTGAGGTGGCAAAATTTGCAGATGATACAAAATTACTGAAGATAGTTAAGTCCCAGGCAGACTGCAAAGAGCTACAAAAGAATCTCACAAAACTGGGTGACTGGGCAACAAAATGCAGATGAAATTCAATGTTGATAAATGCAAAGTAATGCACATTGGAAAACATAATCCCAACTATACATATGCAATGATGGGGTCTAAATTAGCTGTTATCACTCAAGAAAGAGATCTTGGAGTCATGGTGGATAGTTCTCTGAAAACATCCGCTAAATATGCAGCAGCAGTCAAAAAAGCGAACGGAATGTTGGGAATCATTAAGAAAGGGGTAGATAATAAGACAGAAAATATCATATTGCCTCTATATAAATCCATGGTACACCCTCATCTTGAATACTGCATGCAGATGTGGTTGCTCTATATCAAAAAACATATATTGGAATTGGAAAATGTTCAGAAAATGGCAACAAAAATGATTAGGGGTATGGAATGGCTGCCATATGAGGAGAGATTATTAAGACTAGGACTTTTTAGCTGACTAAGGGGGAATATGATAGAGGTATAAAATCATGACTGGTGTGGAGAAAGTAAATAAGGAAGTGTTTACTCCTCATATAACAAGAACTGGGGTCACCAAATGAAATCAATAGCAGATTTAAAACAAACAAAGTATTTTTTCACACTACACACAGTCAACCTGTGGAACTCTTTGCCAGAGGATGTTGTGAAGGATTCAAAACTATCACGGTTCAAAGAAGAACTAGATGACTTCATGGAGGATAGGTCCATCAATGGCTATTAGCCAGGATGGGCAGGAATAGTGTCCTTAGCCTCTGTTTGCCAGAATCTGGGAATAGGCGACGGGGGATGGCTCACTTGATGATTACCTGTTCTGTTCATTCCCTCTGGGGCACCTGGCATTGGCTACTGTCGGAAGACAGGATACTGGACTAGATGGACCTTTAGTTTGGCCCAGTATGGCCGTTCTTATGTTCACTTACCATCCTGGTGCTCCCAGGGGAGGGGGGGGCAGCATGGGTCAGAGGCTGGTGGCTGCAGTTGGGAGGCTCTGGGCTTCGGCGCGGGGGGGGACGGGACAGGGACACATGGAAGGGGCGGGGCCTCTGGCAGAAGGGGCGGGGCCAGGGGCTATCCTCTTCCAGTTGGCGGTTTACGTGCTGCCCATGGTAATGTCACATCCTCTCCCCAGTTAGAGATAGTAATTGAAAAAAAAAAATATGGTGACAGGCAAGGAAATAAGGGGTTGGGCTGGTGATTGGACATTCTTTGTATTATTAATGTTTTTTCTAAAAGCCAAAACTTGTTTAGAAAAGCTGTGGTAGAGATAAAGAAAATAATGAATGGCATATAGAAGGCCAGTTTGTGGAAAGGGAGGTGGAGAGTGAGGGAATCACTTTCAGTGATTTGGCCTCTATCAGGTTGGTAGAAGAAAAAGGTCAAGGAGCGAGGACAGCATAAGAGAAAAAATGAGAGAAGACAAAAGAGCAGAAAATTCAGTAGAGTGGAAAACTCCAAAGGATGAAGACAGAGTACAGGGACTGAAGGAGATACGCAAGAATAGGTATTGGAGGACTTAGAGTGAGGAGAAAAAATGAGTGGAGCTTTTAAGGGACAGGGAAGAAAGCAGTCACTGGGTTGTGGATGAGTAAATACCATTTTCTTCCCACATACCCTTTATGGTAATTTAAGTCCGGTGTTTTTCCTTCTGAAAATAGGTTTACTGTGCAGCTGCTGGAAGAGGGAATGTACTTCATATATTCTTTTACCAGAAAATATCTGCTTTCAAAGTGATGAAGAGGACAGCCTCTTCCCCAAGATCCTGCATCTGGAGATGGGAGTAGGCTGCCACTGGTGTCCCTCAGATCTCAGTTACTAAAGAACCTGAGAGATCTTAGTTGAGAATGCAGGCCAGAATGAAAGGAAAAAAGAAAGATAACAGGAACTGCTGTTAAGTCTGTCAATGAGGTATGATGGCCTTTACAGGTATTTAAAATGTTTACTCCATCTCTTAAAGAAAGAAATAGCTTGTTGGGCCACTTGTCAATTCTGCTGACTCAAAGACTGAATAGAGGTTTGATTGGCACTGCAGATGCTTTACTGTGATTAAATTGGGCATCAAAACTTGAAGACAAAGAACAATGAAAATGACCAGAACAATATAGGCCACTTCACCTTGAATGGTTCCTTGAAATATGTGTTAACTGCTTATGCTAAACAAGTTGTTGCACCTTGTATTTAACTGTGACACTCTGAGGGTATGTCTACGTTATGAAATTAGGTCGAATTTATAGAAGTCGATTTTTTAGGAAGCAATTTTATACAGTCGATTGTGTGTGTTCCCACTAAGCTCATTAAGTCGGTGGTGTGCGTCCACAGTACTGTGGCTAGCGTCGACTTTTCGGAGCGTTGCACTGTGGGTAGCTATCCCACAGTTCCCGCAGCTATCCCACAGTCCGCCGCCCACTGGAATTCTGAGTTAAGCTCCCAATGCCTGATGGCGCAAAAATATTGTCATGGGTGGTTTTGTTTTGGATACGTGTCGTCAGTTGCCCCTCCCTCAGTGAAAGCAACGGCAGACAATCGTTTTGCACCTTTTTTCCGTGCGGACGCCATACTGCTTTCAGCAGACGGTGCGGTAGGACTGCTAACTGTCGTCATCGAACCACCGCTTCCACTGCAACTCTGCTCTCCTGCTCGTGTCTCGATAGTGAATTTATCCGTGTTGGCTGTCATGGGCTCCCGCTTCCACTGCAACTCTGCTCTCCTGCTGTCATGGATGCACCTCACAGGTCCTCTCGTTGTTCTCTATAAATATCTATTCTTGTGGCATCTGTCATCAGCCACCGTTTCTGCTGCAACTCTGCTCTCCTGCAGACGCCATACCATGGCAAGCATGAAGCCTGCTCAGATCACCGCGGCTGTTATGAGCATTGTAAACACCTCGCGCATTATCCTGTAGTATGTTCAGAACCAGAACCTGCAAAAGCAGGCGAGGAGGCGATGGCAGCGCGGTGACGAGAGTGATGAGGACATGGACACAGACTTCTCTCAAAGTACGGGCTCTGGCAATTTGGGCATCCTGGTGGCAATGGGGCAGGCTCATGCCGTGGAATGCTGATTCTGGGCCCGGGAAACAAGCACAGACTGGTGGGACCACATAGTATAGCAGGTCTGGGATGATTCCCAGTGGCTGCAAAACTTTCATATGCATAAGGGCACTTTCATGGAACTTTGTGACTTGCTTTTCCCTGCCCTGAAGTGCAGGAATACCAAGAGGAGAACAGCCCTCACAGTTCACAAGCGAGTGGCGATAGCTCTCTGGAAGCTTGCAACACCAGACAGCTACCGGTCAGTCAGGAATCAATTCGGAGTGGGCAAATCTACTGTAGGGGCTGCTGTGATCCAAGAAGCCAATGCAATCACTGAGCTGCTGCTATCAAGGATAGTGACTCTGGGAAATGTACAGGTCATAGTGGATGGCTTTGCTGCAATGGGATTCCCTAACTGTGGTGGGGCAATAGACGGAACGCATATCCCTATCTTGGGACTGGACCACCTTGGCAGCCAGTATGTAAACCGCAAGGGGTACTTTTCAATGGTGGATCACAAGGGACGTTTCACCAGCATCAACGTGGGATGGCCGGGAAAGGTACATGACGCTCACATCTTCAGGAACTCTGGTTTGTTTGAACAGCTGCAGAAGGGACTTACTTTCCAGACCAGAAAATAACCGTGGGGGATGTTGAAATGCCTATAGTTATCCTTGGGGACCCAGCCTACCCCTTAATGCCATGGCTCATGAAGCCATACGCAGGCACCCTGGATAGTAGTTAGGAGCTGTTCAACTATAGGCTGAGCAAGTGCAGAATGGTGGTAGAATGTGCATTTGGACGTTTAAAAGCGTGCTGGCATAGTTTACTGACTCGGTTAGACCTCAGCGAAACCAATATTCCCACTGTTATTCCTGCTTGCTATGTGCTCCACAATCTCTGTGAGAGTAAGGAGGAGTCGTTTATGGCGGAGTGGGAGGTTGAGGCAAATCTCCTGGCCGCTGATTGCGCACAGCCAGACACCAGGGCGGTTAGAAGAGCACAGCAGGGCGCACTGTGCATCAGAGAAGCTTTGGAAACCAGTTTCATGACTTGCCAGGCTATAGTGTGACATTTCGGTTTGTTTTTCCTTGATGAAAACCCACCCCCTTGGTTCACTCTACTTCCCTGTAAGCCAACTGACCTCCACACTTCAATCACCGCTTGCAGAGGCAATAAAGTCATTGTTGTTTCAAATTTATGCATTCTTTATTAATTCGTCACACAAATAGGGGGATAACTGTAAAGGTAGCCCGGGACGGGTGGGGGAGGAGGGAAGCACTGGGTGGGGTGGTGGAGGAGGGAAGGACAAGGCCACACTGCACTTCAAAACTTATTGAATGCCAGCCTTCTGTTGCTTGGGCAGACCTCTGGGGTGGAGTGGTTGTGTGCTCGGAGCGCCCCCCCAACCCTGCATTCTTGGGCGTCTGGGTGAGGAGGCTATGGAACTTGGGGAGGAGGGCGGTTGGTTACACAGGGGCTGCAGCGGTGGTTTGTGCTCCTGCTGCCTTTCCTGCAGCTCAACCATACGCCGGAGCATATCAGTTTGATCCTTCAGTAGCCTCAGCATTGCATCCTGCCTCCTCTCATCACGCTGCCGCCACCTATCATCTTGATCCTGCCACCTCTCCTCTTGCTCCCGCCACCTCTCGTCTCGTGTGTCCTTCCTGTCCTCGCATTCATTTTGTGCTTTCCTGGACTCTGACATTGCTTGCCTCCATGCATTCTGCTGAGCTCTTTCAGTGCGGGAGGACTGCATGAGCTCAGAGAACATTTCATTGCGAGTGCGTTTTTTTCACCTTCTTATCTGCGCTAGCCTCTGGGATGGAGATGATAGGGGGAGCGTTGAAACATTTGCAGCTGCGGGAGGAAAAAAGGGAGAGTTGTATTTAAAAAGACACATTTTAGAGAACAATGGTTAGACTCTTTCATGGTGAACCAAGCTGTTAACATTACATAGCACATGTGCTTTTGGTACACGGTCTCCCCCCCATTTCTCTGGGATGATCGCTTCACCCCCCCTCCCCCACCGCGTGGCTAACAGCAGGGATGATTTCTTTTCAGCCACAGGCAAACAGCCCAGCAGGAACGGCCACCTCTGAATGTCCCCTTAATAAAATTCCCCTATTTCAACCAGGTGACCATGAATTATATCACTCTCCTGAGGATAACACAGAGAGATAAAGAACGGATGTTGCTTGAATGCCAGCAAACACTGGGACCATATGCTGCCATGCTTTGTTATGCAATGATTCCAGACTATATGCTACTGGCCTGGCATGGTAAAGTGTCCTACCATGGAGGACGAAATAAGGCTGCCCTCCCCAGAAACCTTTTGCAAAGGCTTTGGGAGTACCTCCAGGAGAGCTTCATTGAGATGTCCCTGGAGGATTTCCGCTCCATCCCCAGGCACGTTAACAGACTTTTCCAGTAGCTGTACTGGCCGTGAATGCATCCCAAGTCTTCAGGGCAAATTCATCATTAAACATGCTTGCTTTTAAACCATGTATTATATTTACAAAGGTACACTCACCAGAGGTGCCTTCTCTGCCTTCAAGGTCTGGGAGCCCGGGTTAGGAGGGTATTGGCTCCAGGGTGTTAAACAGTTCCTGGCTGTTGGGGAGAACGGTTTCATCCTCCTCCTCATCTTCCTCATCCCCAAAATCCTCATCCCTGTTGCATGAGACTCCCCCCTTGCAGGAGTCCACGTACAGGGGTGGGGTAGTGGTAGGGGCACAACCTAGAATTGCATGCAGCTCATCATAGAAGCGGCATGTCTGGGGGTCTGACCCAGAGTGTCCGTTTGCCTCTTTGGATTTTTGGTAGGCTTGCCTGAGCTCCTTAAGTTTCACATGGCACTGCTGCGGGTTCCTGTTACAGCCTCTGTCCTTCATGCCCTTGGAGATTTTTTCAAATATTTTGGCATTTCGGCTTTTGGAACGGAGTTCTGATAGCACAGATTCATCTTCCCATACAGCAATCGGATCCAGTACCTCCCGTTTGGTCCATGCTGGAGGTCTTTTGCAATTCTGGGACTGCATGGTCACTTCTGCTGATGACCTCGCCACACTGGCCAAACAGGAAATGAAATTCAAAAGTTCTCGGTGCTTTTCCTGTGTACCTGTCTAGTGCATCTGAGTTGAAAGTGCTGTCCAGAGCGGTCACAGTGGAGCACTCTGGGATACCTCCCAGAGGCCAATACCATCAAATTGTGTCCACACTACCCCAAATTCAGTTTAACATCTGGTATTTTGCTTGTTAAGAGGATTGTATCTTCCACTTGCAGCATGGTGGATTCGGTGTTACAGATCTTTTCCATCTATATCTTCTGTGGTTTCATGCAAATTATTAGAACTTTTCAAAGTAACCCTTCCAGTTGGTGTGGTTTTGAGACAGTAAAGTAGGATTAGCCCTCAAAGGGAACTCCTTTATCCTCAGTTTTGTAATACATGTTGTAGTATATGTATAGTGATGTGACTTTTCTGGAAGCAATTTATAACTGTCTTACTAAATACTTCTGCTCACTGTAATGAATTATAACTGCTCCTCTTCAGATTTGTATGCAGTGTTGTTGTAGCCATGTGGGTCCCAGGATACTAGAGAGACAATGTGCATGAGGTAATGTCTTTTATTTTACCAACTTCTGTTGGTGAGAGACTGTGTAGCGTTTTCTCTCTGACCAACAGAGGTTGATCCAATAAAAGACATTACCTTACCCACCTTGTCTCTCCTCAGATACGTTAATTTAAAAAATCAAGATTTGTACCCATGTTTTCAGTAGTGAAACAGTAGTACTTTTATCCACTGACTGCTTAAGCACTTTGATACTTAAGTGGAAATACAACATAACCTTGATTAAACATTTTGGTCTGAACCTTCAATCCTTAATCTGGTAAAACTCCCACTGATTTCAATGACAGGTTTCAGAGTAGCAGCCGTGTTAGTCTGTATTCGCAAAAAGAAAAGGAGTACTTGTGGCACCTTAGAGACTAACAAATTTATTTGAGCATAAGCTTTCGTGAGCTACAGAATGCATCAGATGAAGTGAGCTGTAGCTCACGAAAGCTTATGCTCAAATAAATTTGTTAGTCTCTAAGGTGCCACAAGTACTCCTTTTCTTTTTACTGACTTCAATGAAATTTTTGTCTGAGTCTGAATGGGTGGTTTGACTGCACTGTAAGGCCCACAGTCCCAATTCTGGAAAGGGTTTACTGTATGGGGTCTCGTTTGAAGTAACTAGGATTCTATTTGGGAGTTAAGGATCTGTGCTTGTGATTAAATAGGTTGCTGACTACCATTATAGACCCTATATTCATTTTTTTTTCTTTTTAGATAATCTACACATTTTAATGTAAGCTTATTGGGCCAGACGTGTTCAGCAGTACAATGCATGCAGTTTATAAGGGTAGTGAGAACAGTCATAGTTGCATTAGATAGGATAAAAAATACAGAGAATATCATGTTTCACGGCATATGCCCAATGATGGATGGTTAAAATTAAATTTTCTTATGGGCAAGGTTATTCCATAGTTGCCCATTGTAGGGATTGTAGCACCTTCCTATGATGCATCTGGTACAGACTATTGTCAGATACAAGATCCTGGATGATTGGTCTTATCTGGTATGGCAATTCCTATGTTCCTGTGCAAACTTTTCCCGTGAGTATCCATGTGCCTAAATAGTTTTACTGTCATATATGTCAGCCTAGACTTCTGATAATTACTTACTTGCTGTTTGTCTATGTTGTCTTTTAGACTGTAAACTCTTTGGTCTAGGGTCTGTTTTCTATTCTATATTTGTACAGTGCTTGGCACAGTGGGGTTCCAGTCCTGGTCAGGGTCACTGGCATACCCAAATAGTAATAGTCAATAATAAATAAATGATGATATACCAGGCAACATTCCCCCCCCCCCCATGTGATATGAGAAGATCCACAGGAAACCTGGATTATAATATTTGTAGAGAAGTTCTAAAGCAAGCATGGGTTGTAATGCTAGAGCACCTGTAGTCCACTGCATTCATTTTAGATTTAGGTAACTTTATATATATATTGATATATATAAAGTTACCTAAATCTAAAATATATATCTATCTATCTATCTATCTATCTGTATATGTGTGTATATATACTGTGTATACCCCTCCCCCTCCCCACCCCCCCTCACCTTTTAAATGTAAGTGCATGTCAAAATTACATAATATGCAGTTTCAGGTTCAATTTAATTATTCTTTATTGCAGTGGTATCATTTACTTTGGTAAATTCATATCCCTGTTCAAAGTGCCTTAAAGCAGTTTAGTTTAAATTCAAGTATTGTAAAAGATATATATTATAAACACAAAAAATCTGCATAGTGGAATTACTAGAACAGGCTGTTACATTCAGGAATGCCAAGTACTCAAGTATTAACAACACCAGATCAATATTTGACTGTCAAGGTTAATGTTAATTAGTTGGCTTAGAACAGTAGATATAGAACAATGGCCTACAGTATAAATGCATTGTTTTTACATTAATACAATTTAGAAGCAGTTAACTAAATACTGGATGAAATTTGCAGTGTCAGTGTCTGTTTTGCATGCCACAGGTAATAGGGCAATTGCTGACACCTGAATAAAATGTTGACATGCTAATCGGAAACAGCAGAAAACAGAGATACTGAATGCTTGCAGCTCCCATGAACTTCAATTAAAGTTTGGAAGGTCAATACCTTAGATATTCTTCATAAGTAAACTGTTATTCTTACCTAAACATATATGTTGTTTAAACCTAGTTTCACAGTATAGTAAGAATATGTTTGTATAAGTTTGTATTTCTATTTTCCTGTGGAAAGAAAGTTATCTAATGTAGCTGAGGTTGACCCACACTGCTTTGAATTAGCAGTGGAAGATACCATAAAAGATATAGTAAAAATTTTGTATTTAAATTTGTAGTCCTTATTTGGTTAATTTAATTAAATATACAGTAAATAAGCCCAGGCATAATAATGATGTGCCATATACTGTAAAACAATAGCATAAATTACTTTTTAAAGAGGATTTTATACAAATTACTTTAAACACTTACTGTAACAACTGGAAATGTATGGAAATAACTGTTTTCAAAATTGTGGGATGGCTAAATTTTTAACAGCTTCAAGGAGCTATTTTACTTATTGCTCAGACGATAATACAGATATATTAATCAGGAGGGAGAAGCAGTTCTAGGATTTTTCATTTTCTATTTATTTAATGCCAATACAGTAGAACCTCAGAGTTACGAACACCTCAGGAATGGGGGATGTTCGTAACTCGGAACAAAACTTATGTCTTTTCTTTCAAAAACTTACAACTAAACATTGACTTTATGCAGCTTTGAAAGTTTACTATGCAGAAAAAAAATCTGTTTTTAATCATATTAATTTAAATGAAATAAGCATAGAAACAGGTTCCTTACCTTGTCTTTCTAGTAACACAATGGAGCTGATCCTACAAGACTTCTGTGTGTGGAACTTCCATTGAAGTCATAAAATGTCATGCATGGAGTGCTTGTGGGACTAGGTGTAGTATTTTGTATTTCACATCAGGTGAAATCCTGGCCTCAGTGAAGTCAGTTGCAAATCTCCTATTGACTACAGGGCAGTCTGGATTTCACCCTTTATATTTCACTAGAACTCAGAGAGGGAAACCTATAGATGTAGTAAGCTCAATGGCCTATATCATACCTTCAGTTTTAAAGTAAAACCCTGAATTGATTTTAATGGAGAATTCTCCTTAAAAATCAATGGCATGATATCTCTCAATATTATTTCCTTGTAAAACCGGTTTTAAGGAATATGTGCATGGATGCACCGGAGAAAACACTATTTTAGATGGGTTACTTTCTCAAATTAAAAAAAATTAGCCATTTCCTTTTCAAGGAAAATTTATTTGTAATAGTTTACATACTTTAAGAGTTTTTATACATTTACCTTTTGTCAGTTAAAAAAAATGGTTTTAGATGTGTACCATCCAGTATGATACTTTTGTGTTTTTAGTGATACAAGGATACATGATGACTGTTATATTGAAGAATAAGAAAATAAAACGTTCAGTTTTCATTAACTGAAAAGAGAAAACAGATTCTTTGTTACAAAAGTAACGTAAAGGTATAAAGGTATAGTTCAATTCTTCAATATTTGACGAAATTCTACAAAGCAAAGCAAGGTTTTGGAAAAAACAAATGAGAAAATTAATGAACAAAGAGTAAAAAACTAATAGGAGTTAGGTTTCTTGAAATATAACACCTATACCCAGCTCTCTTTCATTTAAGACAATCTCACATTATTCGTATATTTATTAAAGCATATACTTAGTAACATTTCATAGTTGTGACAAGATGAGGGGAAGCCATGTGGTCCATCTACATCTGTCCTAATGTTATTTATTTCCAAAGCCCATCATAAATGACCCATGAGTTAGTTTGCTGCAGGTTAAGGTTTGATAGATGGAATACTGCAAGACCTCCTCATTACCAGCCTGACTTCAATGTCAGGTAGGTTATTCTGTTTAGTCTGTAAACATCCATCATCTGTTGCTGCTAGGTGGAGATCAAAGCGCAAAGAAACAGATTTTTTCCTTAAATGAGGATTGTCCTTAAAGAAAGATCCTTCCCATTCTTTAATAACTTCATCCACTTTTTCTGTCCTGAAACAATAAATGAAATGTAAATGTGATCCTGAAGGCACAGTATTACATGTCTTCAAAGTATGCTTTTAAAATGTGATGAAAAATTCCGTAATGGGATATGGAGATAATTTTAGGAAATGCAGAGATTTCAGAGTTCTTTTTTCATAGCTACATTCTCAAGAAATACAGACTAAAGGGTTAGCCTCATTATATATCTACTTATTGTAGAAAAATAGAAATGGATCAAAAGCTATGAGTCTAAACACCCCCAGGTTTTAGTGGGAAGGTTATTTGAAATCCAACCCAGGATCTGAGTTTTGCAGTTACCTCTATATCTGTAATGGGCAGAACCAAGTCCCTAGATCTGAATGCATTCAAAGTAAGGAGGGTTAGAAATCCAGATGCAGACTTCAGAACTGTTGCCTACTTTTAGTGCAAAGATAGAATTAAGTACATAGTAGCTAAGAGCCTGATTCTAGAGCCTTCATTCACATGAGTAAACTTTACTTAAGCAAGTAGTCCCATTTAAGTCTATCAGACTGTTGGCAAGAGTGAGGATTACTTACATAAATAAGAGTTTCAGGATCAGGCCCTAATGATTTCAATGAGTAATTGTACTTAAATATTAGTGACACAGTTGGCCCAGAAAAAGAAGGTACAAAAACAACAACAACGATGCTGTCCTGTATTAGTAAAGCAAGTTAAGGTAAATAATATTTAATAATTGCTTTAATTAACAACAAGGAAACCTGGCAAATTTATCATGTATCTGTAGTTCATAATGAAAGTAGGAAAGGGACCAATATGAAAAACACAAGAATAGAATCTGAAAAAATAATGTACAAGGCTAATAAAATACCTGTTTTTTTTTTTAGTAAGATAGTATAGTTCACAGTTCTTAGGTCTTAAAATGCTTTTAAGATTGGCTAGGTAAAATATAATTTTATTCTATTCTGTTTCATACTAAAAATGTAGAAAGTCTCTTGAAGACGGTATGTTTTTATATAACCTTTAAATAGTCTATTGCAGATTGATGTAAGTATTCCTCAACTGATAACACATAAGGAGTGAAATCTGGGCCCCACTGATATAAATGGGATTTTTGTCATTGATTTCAGTGGCACCAGGATTTCACCCAAAGGGTATGATTCTGAAAATAATCTATTTGGATTCCACACTGTGGAGGTACATGGAAACCCTCAAAAATCACAATTTTTAGCCTCATGCAAGCAGAAGGTAGACAGCAATGTTGTTGATTTACGTAATAATTATTTAGCACTCTGCAGCATTTAGTGAAGTATTGCCTTGTTTACCTTCTTTTTTTTATCATTAAGGTTACTAACTGACACATTATTGGAAGGGAATCAGATACTAGAATTAGTATGTTTATTATAATATATAGTGTCTCATAAAAACAAATACAATCACAAAACTTAGATAATAAAAAATTGTGCAACGCAGTATAGCTTGAAGAGTAGTTATTGCTACTCTGTGTAGTGTAATAGTTGCTTATAGAAATCAAAGCATTTATTGGGATGCTGCAAGTAACAATTCCAGCACGCAAAGGCAGGGTAAAAACGGTACATACCCCTCCCTGCTCAAATCCAATATCAAAACAAGACAATTTAGTATTAAGAGAAAGATACAGCATCACTTATTGGTGGAAGTGCTGTCTGCACTGATAATTACTACTTTCCCCCTGCTGGTTAAATAATTTAAAAACAGTAACAAAAGTTTGATTATAGTAACTCCTAGGAATCCAGGTAGTTTGCCATCCACACAGATTTCCGTGTTGGTCTGTTCTCTTGAGTCTTCATTCGTAGTTGGATCTAGATTATCAGTGAGTGCAGGAAGAAAAGGAGTACTTGTGGCACCTTAGAGACTAACCAATTTATTTGAGCATAAGCTTTCGTGAGCTACAGCTCACTTCATCGGATGCATAAAGTGGAAAATACAGTGAGGAGATTTATATACACACAGACCATGAAAAAATGGGTGTTTATCATACACATTGTAAGGAGAGTGCGGGCAGGGTCCATGTCCTTCATGTTAGGCTTATCTGTTGTGGACAATGCCTGTTGAAGACTACAGTATCTTGAGGTTCTGAAGACACCCTGACAATTCCTCCTCCATGACTTGCCTCCCATAGCTATAGGAACCTGCTTGGATTCTTCCAAATCCTCTTCTGTATCCCTTTGGGATGATTATTGAATATCTTAAGTGTTTGTCTCCCCTTTCTTTCAATTCATCTGTGCATCAGTTCTCTAGGCACTACGAAAGGGTGAGCTCTTGCTTTTTGTAACAGCAAGAATAAGTCATTTATTTTCTTAGTTATTGTGTAAAGTTCCCTCCTAAAAGGTATAAATTTGGATTTTTTTCCAGGCTGCTTTTTCCAGTTGTGTAGCCTTCTCTCCTTCCTGGATGGGCGCATAATTCTCCTATTTCCTGGCATCTTATTCCTGGCATGCTTGCTTCCAGCTCATCTTTCCTCCACCTTCTGGAATGCTGTCCTCAGGTCAGATATAAGACTTGGCCATGTCACCCACCAGTGGAGGTTCAGGGGGCCTTGCTGGTTCCTGCTGCCTCAACATCCACAGGGAAGCATGAATTTGCAGAGTTGAAAAATAATTTCATAGGGAGAGTGAGGGACAGTTGCATGCTGGCTGGTGTTATATGCAGAGATGACAAAAGATATCTTTGTGTCCCAGTCTTGTTGGTCTTCACTAAAACTCTATGCATGGAACCAATGGTCTGGTTTACTCTTTCCACTCTCTCATTACTCAGAAGGTGGACAACACTGGTCCTCACCTTGTTTACCTGGAGTTGTCGGCAAACCTCGTGTAATAACCATGATTCAGATTCTTTCCCCTGATCATTACAGATGCAACTACATGTTTCATCAATGCATCCATAACTCTCTCACTCCTTTTAGCCTTCAGTAGTTGTGCTACCATGTACTTTGAGAAGGTGTCATACACTATCAACCAATATTGATTTCCAGCTGGTGTTTCTGTAGTGGGCCTTTTAAGTCAATCTGTATGAACTCGCAGGGCTCAACAGATTGAGGCATTTCCCATAAAGGACTTCTGCCTCTCGTTGCTGGCACTTTCCTTTCTTGATGGGTGAGACAGGAAAAGTACCTTAACATCAGCAGCCATGCCAGCCAAAAAAAACCTGTTCTGTACCTGGCTCATTGTCTATTCATACCACTGGTGTCCTGCAGCTTCATTATCATAAAGACACTGCAATACTGTTGTTGTCTGTAAGCTTGCTGGCAAGACAATCATGTTATGCTCCTTCACCAGCAAGTTAGTAGCTGGTTAAACGGGTAATTGTTCTTGAATTGAACCTCCCTCCATCTACATATCCTTCATTTAATCTGTTAGTGCACCAAAATTAACTCAGTCTCCTTAGTCTGTTCTTACTGGATGTCCTCACAGGACCAGTGTGAGTCTATTTTTACTGCCCTGACCTGGCAGAGAGTTTCCTCAACCATATTTTGCTTTCCAGATTTATGGTGAATGTATATTTGGACAGTTAGTGAATCTATCTCCACGGGTTTTCCTTCTGGGTTATGCTTCATAAGGAACCATTGCAGGGCATTATATGTGTACACTGTGAATTCCATAACTAATAAATATGGACAATAAGCCTGGATAGTTTTCACAAATAGCCAAACACTTCAGTTCTGTAGCCAAAAGCCACCGATCTGTGACTACCAAGCTTATCAGTTTGTTCAAGTGCTTATAGATTCATAGATACTAAGGTCAGAAGGGACCATTATGATCATCTATGACCTCCTGCACAATGCAGGCCACAGAATCTCACCCACCCACTCCTGTGAAAAACCTCACCTATGTCTGAGCTATTGAAGTCCTCAAATCATGGTTTAAAGACTTCAAGGAGCAGAGACTCCTCCAGCAAGTGAATATCAATTTGTTCAAGTGAAACCTTTGAGCCCTTATAGGTTACCATGAATGGACAGGATGGGTCTGGGAATTTAAGTACAACATGGCTGAGAAATCCTTCCTTCAGTGACTCAAATGCTTTTTGGTGTCCCTCTGTCCAGAGAAAGTCATTCTTAGTTATCTGGTATTCATGTTGTGAAATTTAGTACAAATCTCCTATAGAATCTGGAAAGGTCTACAATCTACTTTACCTTCTCCGGGTTTGTAAGAACCTTCACAAACTTTATAATGGTCAGTTTCTGGGGTTGGGGTTTCAACCCTTCTTGCTGACTGTATGTCCTGATGCGACTCCTCACAAACTGACTTTTGTTTCCTGCATGTTTAAACCATGACTGTTTAAAAAGCTTTAGAATCCTTTCCACTTTTACCATATATTCCTCCCATGTTTTGTGGAAACAAATGAAGTCATCTGTGTACATGAGGATGTCTTCAGTTCTCAAAACTTGGGTTAAATCATTTACTATTCTCTGGAAATATCCCTGATGCATTCATGAGTCTGAAAAGAATTGAAATAATCCATGAGGTTTCACAAAGGCAGTTTTTTCTTGATCTTTAGGTGCCACTTTAATCTGAAGGTATCCAAATACCCAATCAAAACTACTAAAATATTTTGCTCCTGACATACTATCTAGGAGTCTGCTATGTGGGTAGCTATCTTGAACTGTTTTTGAATTAAATCTCCTGTAGTCAATGCATATCATAGAATCATAGGACTGGAAGGGACCTTGAAAGGTCATCTAGTCCAGTCTCCAGCACTCATATCTTCAAGTCTCTGTTGGGCTTTTCCACAATTACAATTGTGGTTGCCCAAGGTGATGTAGATTGCTCAGTCAGGGCATCCTCCCACAAGTGGTTTAACTTTCACTGTTACCTGATATGTCAGGGGCATCTGATGTGGAGGCTGCATCACGGGAATGCTCTCTGGTTTAAGCCCAGTTCGATGTTGCACCAAATCATATCTCTCAAGCTCTTCAGTATTCTTGGAGAACATGCTAGCATATTGTAAGAACAGTTCGGATTGTTTCCTTTTATTGCCTTCTACAGGTGCTTCTGTCAAGTCAGCCTCTGGCTGTACTACTGACTGGATTGCTCCACAGCTCTTGACCTCTGTGAGAGGCTTTGAGACACTAGCTACATTGGACACTGTCCCCGTGGTCTGATTTTTCACTAGCTTGCCAGTCCTCATTTGGTCCAGCTTGAAACACATTTCTGCCAAACTGCAATTCTAAATGGATGTTTCTAGCTTCCAACACTCCTACAGGTTCACTGAAACAGTCCTTTATTCTTAAAGGTATTATTGAATGATGACCTGGTTTCACCACAACTTTATTCTGAACCACCACAGGAAGCAATTTATCTCTGTCATCCTCTGTAGTCATGGTAGAGTCACCTCTAAGGCCCCAAGAGTTTTCCCTCAGGATCCACACTTCCTCCTATCCACATCCAACAGAGGTATCTGAATATTGTATGGGGGCAAATTTGTTTTATTAACACCCCAAGGGTTCTTGTGGTGCTCTTGGATGAAATCCACTCCCAATACTACAGCACTAGAAATATTGGTCGCCTCAACAAAAGCCCATTTAGTGTGCAAAAACCCTGAGTTCAGTAGGAGCTGGATGTCTCCCATTATGTGCAGTGGTTGATGATCAATACTTATCAGTTTACCTCCTGCATAAACTTTTTTATTCCTTTCAGCACTGCGTGTTCTCCATATATCAGACATAATTCAGGTCATAAGTCCAACAGCATTGTGGTTTTCCAGCTGTTGATGTCTCTAGACACATAGTAACAGGTATCTGGCCGGCTCTTCAAATGGCCCATTTTAATAGTTGCTGAGGGTGACCTTACTGCCTCAACAACTTTTAGCTTCTCCGGTGTGGGTTCCTGTGCTCGGGCAATTCTGACTCCAGTAGCCTTTTCATCCACTTTGCCTGCAAATGTCAGGAAACGGTCTGTCTCAAGTAACCCATGAGACACCTACCTGAGAATAGCTTGCACCCATGCCTCCTCCAGCATTTTAGCCACCTCACTAGCAATTATTTCGTGAAGTGCTGCATCTGGCATAAAGGAGTCACCATGAGTCTGGGCATTAACAGCTGATACTTTAAGGAAACCCAATTTCTGCTTCCACATTTGTAACTCTGTATATAATCTGGCCCATAGCCTTATCTAGTATTTTATCTTCCTTCCCCAGCAGTTTATGAAGTTCCCCTATTAAACTGTTTATAAACTGTCTTTTCACACAGGATTCTCTCATGGCTTGCCACTGGACATAGGCCCCTCTCTGCATTGCCTGTTCCAGATTTTGCACAGCACATTCTGCTTCACTCAAGTCATGTTCTGGACAGGGTGGTGTAGGGAAAGCCCTATTGAACAATCTTTTCAATGCCCACAAATAACTATGCAGGAGTTCCACCTTCCTGACACCTCCTGGCTTGTCATTCCTTCCAGTATTTCAAAAGATCCCCTCCCCTCCACTCCCCAGCAGTGTATAAATGTTTGTGTAACTTTTTGTAAGATCCATGATTTGCACTAGGAAGGTGCTAGCAAAAGGCTTTGGCATCACCATCCAAAAAAACTGCGAAGTACTGTACTGCTTTCTCATCAGTCCATTCATTTACAGAGAGCAATAGCTCAAAGTCTGTTAAGTACTCACAGATTCCAGTCTCACCTGCATGACCAATACATTTATTCTCGGGCCAAAGTGCTTTTGCCATCTTGAAGCTACTGCCACCAGTTGTAATACTCGCTTACAGAAATAAAAGGATTTATTGGGACACTGCAAGCAACAACTCCAGTACACACAGGCAGAACTAGAAACTTCTCCTCTCCTTTCTCCTCCCTTGTTCTGATCAGAGAGCATACTATCAAAACAAGGCAACACCTTAGCACTAAAATAATGATACAGCACCACTTATTGATGGAGGTGTTGTCCACACTGATCTTATAGTTGCCTACTTGCTAACTGGAAATGGTGTACAAGAAGGATGCTACCAGGGATACAGAGTGCAGCCCAGAGAGGTTTACATTTACATATATAGAACATATATATATATATATATAATTTTGCTAAATTTATGTTTGTCTTACTGTATAGTGCCATGAGCTTCAGCACTTTCCTTCACAACGCTTCCATTTAAGATTGCTTGCTTTGTCAGTTTTTCCACCTTTTCATATTCATGCTTCTTTACGGCACCAGCTGTAAAGGAAAATGCAAATATACCAGATATTTCTTCTGAGCCCTCTTCAGGAGCCTTCACTCCTTGTACAATCATCAGGAAAAGATCTCTTTATAATGTTCAAGAGACTAGTAGGAGGTAATCCTGGCTACTATGCCAGCGTGTGTACCATCTCCTTAAGGGACTGTAGTCTGTCACTTGGGGGCGTATCTGGTAACTGAGCTATCTATATGTTGTGGTCAGCAGTATGTGCTAGCTTTGGGTGCAAGCTACCCCCTTTCAGAAGAAAATCTGTGTTTCTCTGTATGCCCTCCTAACTCACCCACCTGAATTCAGCCCTGGCAAACAAATTCCAGTGGAGGATCATACACCAGGCCCTGTCTCTGGCCATCTTCTCCATTCTGGCCTGAGAAGAATTTAGGTCTAAATTGTTTATTTTGGCATTATCTGTGACTAAATTAGGCATTTAATTGTTTTTTAAAGATACTGTAGACTGGAATATGTGACAATAGATCTGAGATAAGAGAAATCAGAAATAGTTCTTTCCTAGCTATGTATTAATCAAATACAGAATCAGCTATGTTTTTCAATAATTTACTGTAAGATATCTGATGCACAGCATTCATCAATATATTTTAATTCAGTAAAGTTTTTACTCCTGGAGTTTGGGGTACAAGTTTTACTCTCCTTTGGGTTTATCTATGGGAAGAAAGCATGTGGTCCATCACAACACTAGTACCTTTTTGTCACTCCTGTTTAGGAAATTCATCTGGGCAACATTAAGAACTAAGAAACTATTGTGGTTTTATTTTAGGAATGTTCCCTTGTCTTAAAAAACTCACTTGAAGGTGGGATAAAAGCTGTCTTGCTGGTGGTAGGTTTTCTGTCATCTTTTCTATCAGGTGTAGAACAATGAAACCTGAAAAAAATGAAAATATTACAAAAATGTAATAATGTTGTTGTTTTAATCCAAAACGTGAATGGTGAGCAATTGAGGGGAAAATATGTAGAAATAATGACAATGAGATTTGTATATAGATTTATTGTAGTCATATCTTATTTTGATTGTAGGACTAAAGAATGTTGAAAATTTGTATTTGTATTCCATCATTCTTTCCTGAAAGGTTTTTAGTAATTTTGAAGTATGCGAGAAAGACCTTTTCTTAATATTTTTTTTATTTATTCATAATGAGCTATGTATATTTTTACATAGTTATACATGTAAATAGCAATATATTGAAAAAATGCTAAATAAGTTCCCTCACTTGGGGCTCTAATGTGCACATGTTTTTGCCTGTGAGGTTCTTGGAGTGAAACCCTCTAGCTTCTTCTGCATGGGGCAGAGGAGGCAAAATTCCCGCCCACCCAAAAGTATTCCTAAGAAACACTTTTACTTGCAAAAATAGTGGAGTTTCATGTTGCCTATGGAGGTTATCCCTATTTCAGGGAGAATGGGACCCTTATTCTTTAACATGGGAACACTACCAATATTTCAGTATTTAACATCATTTATGTTGACAGATACTCAGATGTGCCAAACCCAAATCCTGCCTCTGATACCTGAGATTTTCCAGATGAAATTTATCTAATTTATCTTCAGGGAATTCACATATTCAAAGCATGGGAAGGCTTAAAGATGACAATGCTAATGTATGAGCAGTACAGTGTATGTGGGAAAATGAAGAACTGTTTAAACTAGTAGCTTTGGAATTATTTAAGTTTTCTCTCTTTCTTTAAAACATTAAAGCTAAATCTGTGTTGAATTATTACAGCAGTATTTTGTTTTTACAGGTTTTGATCAATATATTTTACTCCAGTTTGATGCTGGAGTAACTCAATTGAAATCAAAATGGTGTAACACTGTGGTAAATCAGGTCCACTATGTATAATTAGATTAAAACTGTACTGAAGCAAACATCTGATAATAGAGGTGGGCACACACACCCAGTACTATCCTTTTTTGTTTTCAATTAGGGTTGGTGAGTCCTAAATACTTCCTACTGTGGGGGCCAAACTGCTTTTAAATATTGGTTAAATAATAAACTTTACTTTAAAAAAACAAAACCGATAATTTGTCTAAAGAAAACCATGGAAAATCAGAAAAAATAAGCACTGCAGAATTTGTAAGATAAGATATTTTAATGGCATGAAAGTTGTTCATGCAATCATTTAACATATTAATTTTAGATTTTAAATATGCCTGAATAGAACTTGCACAGGTCAAAATGAAAATTCCTTTCATGAAGGATTTGCTACTATATTTGATGGCGGAGTTCATGTGATTGCAACTCTGAAAAGTACTGCAAACAGAAGTTCTGAAAAATAATATAAAAGCAAATACACTTTCTCCATTCTGTAAAATACCTGTTTTCCTCTTTCTCCAGCAAACTGCGATACGTTGCTATCTCCTGCTCCAGCCTCATCTTAGTGTTCAGTAGTATTTCATGCTCCTGAAGCTGTTCCTCAATACCTCTCCTCACTTGCTGTAGCTCCTTCTCTAAACTTTCAATCTCAGCTTTTAAATTCTGCAGTTGCATCTGGTACCGCTGCTCAGTGGCATGCAGACAACTTTCCAATCCTCTTTCCTGGCAAATAAATCCAATATTAAAGGTCCAAAAAGTAGTTCTAAAAGTTCAGTTCCACATAGTGTTTACTAACAATTCAGACAACATATTTTAAAATTTATTTTTCAATTTATTTGCTAAATAATCTTTAGGAACTGTAATAATAATCCAGCTTTTATAACACCTTTGATAAGAAACTTAAACTGGTGGCTTTTTGCATCTAATTTTCCAGAAAGATCTGTAAACATATAAACTCAATTAGAAGCTCACACACAAAAATTGTAGCCTTCTGCTATATGATGAAATCAATCAGTTTTGATGAGTAATTTCACCCAGCTGTCCAGAATTATGTGTTTTCTAATAGTCACAGGTATTCACAGTGTTGCAAAGTCATCATCATCAAGTTACAACCCCTGTCTGCAATAGGGAAATTGACAAATATCTGACATCTGTTGTCAGTAGTGGATCTCCCTGAAATCCTGTTACAAACAGTGTAATTCCTAGGCTTTGTCATCACTAGTGAATTTTAAGAAAAATTCCCATCAGTGCTACCACCACTTTATCTACACCACTGGGAATGCTGGTGTACACAAGTCTCTTTTGGTGTGACACTGGAAGTTGCCAGAAACTAATCTACACTAGATCTCCCACCAGAGCAGATGAACTGATGATAGCAGTGGGAGAAGGATTGTTTTCTAAAGTTCCCTAATGTAGTCAGTCAAAGCAGTTGGATAGATGGACAGAATTGTTTTCAACACTATTATAGACTTTAAGCTGTGATTCAGCAAAACATTTAAGTACATTCTTAACTTAAAGTATATTATTAATTGTTTTGTTGACTCAGAGCCATAGTTCCAAAGAATTAAAATAAACATGATTTGAATAGATCAGTCAGGCAGGATATTTATTAGGAAATTGATATGGGGATATTGTGGAAGAATTCTTGAAATCTGTGGGTATTGATTGTCAGGAGTAAAAAAGTAAACATATAGCAGTATGTGCAAAATTATAGATTCTGAATCAAAAGATGTCATATTCTTAAGCATTGATAACTGACTGGGGGAGTTTCTGGCAATTAATGACCAAGAGAAAGAGATAAAGGCCCCAGGCAAAGCCACTATGCATTTCTGTTCTTGCTGTGTTTTCATCATCTGTTAGATGTCATTGATGTGCATATTGAACTATGGAATGCTGCATGTCAGAAGAAGAAATAGGTTATTTTTTTCAGGAAGTTGATAATATCAATTTTTGACCATGCTTACCACAGCCTGGAGAGATTCAATTTCAATTTGCATACGATGCCACTGTCGCCTGGCTTCACTGAGCTCTGCTCTGGCTGCCTTTAAAGCTTCTTCATCTTTGTCCATTCTTTCACTTGTACCTTCTTCTAGCTACAGAAAATGATAAACAAGATAACAGTATTACAAATAAAAAATATTTTAAAAGAATGAACATAAAATAAATGTAATTTTGAAAAAAAATCTTATCTACTTCTCTTAAAACAGGTTTTTTAGGTTAATTTTTTTGTGTGGCAACTGAATATATTTGTTCAAGGTTGTAATGAAAAGCTAAACTGTCATTATCAGAATATTGTAAACTCTGAGGAACCTGTTGTATTGCAACCTCTACTGGGAAATACTTTGCTGTATCTTTAGTAACTGTTGCACTTCTACGAAAGAGGCTTAAGAAGACAGGTTACTTTTGTCTCTGCTATCTTAACATAAATACTCACAGAAACAGACACAACTTGGACATATTCTGTGCAAAATCTCAGTTGATTAACAATATCGGGGCCAGATACATTGGCATGGATTGAACAATCATATAGTAGAGAAAGAATGAAGAACTCATTGAAATATTTTATTAATAATTTTGAGACTTGTATTATCTTAGGTGCAGAAAAGTATAGGATAGGGATGGTCAGGCTAACCTATTAGAGAACCTAAACCAGATGTTTAGAACACTCTTCCCCTGCACTTTATAACACTCTTCGTTGTAATGAAAAGCCAGTACTTGGTTGGCACCTATAGTATGACTAAATCCAATTCTGTATTAATGAGCATGAGCTTCCATCAGTGAGCTACAGCTCACTTCATCAGATGTTTACCGTGGAAACTGCAGCAGACTTTATACATCACAGAGAATATGAAACAATACCTCCTCCCACCCCACTGTCCTGCTGGTAATAGCTTATCTAAAGTGATCAACAGGTGGGCCATTTCCAGCACAAATCCAGGTTTTCTCACCCTCCACCCCCCACACAGATTCACTCTCCTGCTGGTGCTAGCCCATCCAAAGTGACAACTCTTTACATAATCAAGTCGGGCTATTTCCTGCATAGATCAAGGTTTTCTCAGTATCCCCCCACCCCCATACACACCTTAAAGACTAACAGATTTATTTGGGCATAAGCTTTCGTGGGTAAAAAACCACTTCTTCAGATGCATGGAGTGAAAATTACAGATGCAGGCATTATATACTGACACATGAAGAGAAGGGAGTTACCTCACAAGTGGAGAACCAGTGTTGACAGGGCCAATTCGATCAGGGTGGATGTAGTCCACTCCCAATAATTGATGAGGAGGTGTCAATTCCAGGAGAGGCAAAGCTGCTTTTGTAGTGAGCCAGCCACTCCCGGTCCCTATTCAAGCCCAAATTAATGGTGTTAAATTTGCAAATGAATTTTAGTTCTGCAGTTTCTCTTTGAAGTCTGTTTCTGAAGTTTTTTTGTTCAAGTATGGCTACTTTTAAATCTGTTATAGAATGTCCAGGAAGATTGAAGTGTTCTCCTACTGGCTTTTGTATGTTACCATTCCTGATGTCTGATTTGTGTCCATTTATTCTTTTACATAGAGACAGTCCGGTTTGGCCAATGTACATGGAGGAGGGGCATTGCTGGCACATGATGGCATATATCACATTAGTAGGTGTGCAGGTGAAGGAGTCCCTGATGGTGTGGCTGATGCCGTTGGATCCTCTGATGGTGTCACTAGAGTAGATATGGGGACAGAGTAGGCAACGAGGTTTGTTACAGGGATTGGTTCCTGGGTTAGTGTTTCTGTGGTGTGGTGTGTAGTTGCTGGTGAGTATTTGCTTCAGGTTGGGGGGCTGTCTGTAAGCGAGGACTGGCCTGCCTCTCAAGGTCTGTGAGAGTGAGGGATCATTTTCCAGGATAGGTTGTAGATCGTTGATGATGTGCTGGAGAGATTTTAGCTGGGGGCTGTATGTGATGGCCAGTGGTGTTCTGTTATTTTCCTTGTTGGGCCTGTCCTGTAGTAGGTGACTTCTGGGTACCCGTCTCGCTCTGTCAATCTGTTTCCTCACTTCCCCAGGTGGGTATTGTAGTTTTAAGAATGCTTGATAAAGATCTTGTAGGTGTTTGTCTCTGTCTGAGGGATTGGAGCAAATTCGGTTGTATCTTAGGGCTTGGCTGTAGACAATGGATCGTGTGATGTGTCCTGGATGGAAGCTGGAGGCATGTAGGTAAGTATAGCGGTCAGTAGGTTTCCGGTATAGGGTGGTGTTTATGTGACCATCACTTATTTGCACTGTAGTGTCCAGGAAGTGGATCTCTTGTGTGGACTGGTCCAGGCTGAGGTTGATGGTGGGGTGGAAATTGTTGAAATCCAGGTGGAATTCTTCAAGGGCCTCCTTCCCGTGGGTCCATATGATGAAGATGTCATCAATGTAGCGCAAGTAGAGGAGGGGCGCTAGGGGACGAGAGCTGAGGAAGCGTTGTTCTAAGTCAGCCATAAAAATGTTGGCATACTGTGGGGCCATGCGGGTACCCATAGCAGTGCCACTGACTTGAAGGTATAAGTTGTCCCCAAATCTGAAATGGTTGTGGGTGAGGACAAAGTCACAAAGCTCAGCCACCAGGTGTGCCATGGCCTCATCAGGGATACTGTTCTTGACAGCTTGTAGTCCATCCTCATGTGGAATATTGGTGTAAAGAGCTTCTACATCCATGGTGGCCAGGATGGTGTTTTCAGGAAGATCACCAATGCATTGTAGTTTCCTCAGGAAGTCAGTGGTGTCTCGAAGATAGCTAGGAGTGCTGGTAGCGTAGGGTCTGAGGAGAGAGTCCAAATAGCCAGATAATCCTGCTGTAAGAGTGCCGATGCCTGAGATGATGGGGCGTCCAGGGTTTCCAGGTTTATGGATCTTGGGTAGCAGATAGAATACCCCTGGTCGGGGCTCTGGGGGTGTGTCCGTGTAGATTTGTTCCTGTGCTGTAGCAGGGAGTTTCTTGAGCAGATGGTGTAGTTTCTTTTGGTACTCCTCAGTGGGATCAGAGGATAGTGGCCTGTAGAATGTGGTGTTGGAGAGTTGCCTGGCAGCCTCCTGTTCATAATCCGACCTGTTCATTATGACTACAGCACCTCCTTTGTCAGCCCCTTTGATTATAATGTCAGAGTTGTTTCTGAGGCTGTGGATGGCATTGCGTTCTGTATGGCTGAGGTTATGGGGCAAGTGATGCTGTTTGTTCACAATTTCAGCCTGTGCACGTCTGCAGAAGCACTCTGTGTAGAAGTCCAGTCTGTCATTTCGACCGTCAGGAGGAGTCCATGCAGAATTCTTCTTCTTGTAGTGTTGGTAGGAGGGTTCCTGTGGGTCAGTGCACTGTTCAGTGGTGTGTTGAAAATATTCCTTGAGTCGGAGACGATGAAAGTAGGCTTCCAGATCACCACAGAACTGTATCATGTTCGTGGGGGTGGTGGGGCAGAAAGAGAGTCCCCGAGATAGGACAGACTCTTCCGCTGGGCTAAGTGTGTGGTTGGATAGATTAACAATATTGTTAGGTGAGTTGAGGGTACCACTGTTGTAGCCCCCTGTGGCATGTAGGAGTTTAGATAGTTTACTGTCCTTTTTCCTCTATAGAGAAGTGAAGTGTGCATTGTAAATGGCTTGTCTTGTTTTTGTAAAGTCCAGCCACATGAAAGTTTGTGTGGAAGGTTGGTTTTGTATGAGAGTCTCCAGTTTTGAGAGCTCATTCTTGATCTTCTCCTGTCTGCTGTACAGGATGCTGATCAGGTGGTTCCTCAGTTTCTTTGAGAGTGTGTGGCACAGTCTCTCACCATAGTCAGTGTAGTATGTCGATTGCAATAGATTTTTCACCTTCAGTCCATTTGGTATGATGTCCATCTGTTTGCACTTGGAGAGGAAGATGATGTCTGTCTGTATCTGTGCGAGTTTTTTGTTGAGGCTGATGGATTTCCACTCCATACAGCTAAATTTAGTGCCTTGCGTAGTGTCAAGTATCAGGGGGTAGCCGTGTTAGTCTGTATCCACAAAAACAACAAGCAGTCTGGTGGCACCTTAAAGACAGCTAACAGATCTTCTTCTCCAGTGCTTCAGGATGCAGGAGTGAAAATAAGAGCAGGCAATATATAAAAAATTTTAGTTCCCCCTTTTCTCTTTGAAGTCTGTTCCATCATGTGCCAGCAATCCCCCCCCCCCCAAATACATAGGCCAAACCGGACAGCCCCTAGGTAAAAGAATAAATGGACACAAGTATCAGACATCAGGAATGGTAAGCAACTCTTAACAGTGCCTTAAGTAGCTGTACTTCCACAAAAAAAAATCTCAGAAACAGACTTCAAAGAGAAACAGCAGAACTAAAATTCATTTGCAAATTTAACACCAATAATTTGGGGTTGAAGAGGGGGGGGGGGGGGGGGGCCCTTTACAAAACCCCTTTTTCCCCCCCTGGAATTGACACCTCCTCATCTATTATTGGGAGTGGACTACATCCACCCTGATCGAATTGGCCCTGTCAACACTGGTTCTCCACTTGTGAGGTAACTCCCTTTCCTTCATGTGTCATTATATAATGCCTGCATCTGTAATTTTCACTCCATGCATCTGAAGAACTGGTGTTTTACCCACAAAAGCTTATGCCCAAATAAATCTGTTAGTCTTTAAGGTGTCACCAGACTCCTTGCTGTTTTTGTGGATACAGACTAACACGGCTACTCCCTGATACTTTGTAATATTAAAATACAAAAGGGTGATATAAGACCCAAATTTCAGTGTGGAATTTTTGGCATTTGATGGTTTGTAGTCAGATTTGTCACATTATTGTAACATTGTTGTTCTCAAGAGATGTGTTGTGTGTGAATTTATAATAGGGTATTTATAACCTTTAAAAATATGACACAGAGAACAAGTAATATAAACATTGCAGACAAATATGGCATAGTTTTATGAAAACAATAGAAAATCTGTCCCGAGAAGGTAAAGTTTTCCATAACATATGTGCTCAAAATTGTAAATCCTCTTTATAAATGGCTTCTTTACGTCATCTCTACATGATATTCAGGATGTTTTCCTCCTGAGGGATAATTCTAAATGAGGCTAGAGGGTACCATGTTATTGTATATGTCATCATGTTTTTTTAGTCACAACAATATAACTGTCTTGTATGTACAGACAAACATCCAGATTCATTACAGAGCATTCCTTTCGAGTGAGTTTCATAACCTAAGCATAACATTTTCTTAGCTTCTAGGTCTAGTCATACTGCAGTAAATTCTAAATCAAGTAATATGCTGCATTGAAAAGGAAATACTGTACCTCAAAGAGGTTGAGGCTGAATTTGGTAGACATAGATTGTCTCCTTTTTCTCTTTACCTGGGTTCTTGTTGAGAGGACGGTCTCTATCTGATTTCTGGTGATGAGCATTTCATAGTTTGCCCTGATCTCATTGAGGAGCTGGGACAGTTCCATTCTGCTCCCATCCTCCACCTTGACTAACGGGAACCTTATTGATAGGATGAGCCAGCTGCTGCAGAGCCTACACTGCCTGCAGTGAAAGCAGAGAGAGGGAGAGAAAATACAGCAGAATTTTAAAGATGCAGAGCTCTTTTTTGTAGGAGCATTGAAAAATCATCTGCTTTTAATTGGTTTTGAAGATCATGTTTAAAAATACAAATACCTCTCAATTCTGCAGTGATTAAAAAGGTAAGACCCAGATAATGTGATGAAATGAACAAAAGTAGTGTCTTCATGTGTATATTACATTGTAAAGCCAGACACTTACCCAAGAAACTAGAGTCTGAAAGATATATTGATAATAAGGGCAAAATTATAGCTGTCCAGTGTGAATTTGAAAGACCAGAGAGGGGGCACAGTACACTTTCCTGGCAGTACACTCTTGCATGTGGCAATCATAATTTGGTTGGCTGTACTCCTGGAATGCAAAGGAGGGAAGTAAGCCAGCATTAACAACAGTCAGAAAGTCTAGTGTTGTACTGGGTGACTGGGCAACTAAATGGAAGATGAAATTCAATGCTGACAGATGCAAAGTAGTGCATATTGGAAAACAGAATCCCAAGTAGACATACAAAATTATGCGGCCTAAGTTAGCTGTTACTACTCAAGAGAGATCTTGGAGTCATTGTGGATAGTTATCTGAAACCATCCACTCAATGTGCAGCGGCAGTCAAAAAAGCTAACAGAATGTTAGGTATCGTTAGAAAAGGGATAGATAATAAGATAGTAAATATCAGAATGCTGTTATATAAATCCATGGTACACCCACACCATGCAGTTCTGTTCGCCCCATCTTAGAAAAGATATATTAGAAATGTAAAAGGTACAGAGAAGGACCACAAAAATGTGTAGCGGTATGGAACAGCCTCCATATGAGGAGAGATTAAAAAGACTGGGACTGTTCAGTCAGGAAAAGAGACAACTAAGGGAGGATATTACAGCGATCTATAAAATCATGATTGGTGTGTAGAAAGTGAATAAAGAAGTCACTGAGCCTCAAACTGGCAGATGCTGGGACTAGACAATGGGAAGAATCACTTGATAATTGCCCTGAACTGTTCATTTCCTTGGAAACATCTGGCATCACCCACTATCTGAAGACAGGATACTGGGGTGGATGAACCATTGTTCTGACCCAATATGACTGTTGTTATGATAGAAATTTAAAAGACCTAGATAGGTTTACAGTGTACAGTAGTACAGTTAGGACAACTAACATATGCTTTTGTTGATAATATATATTTGATCATTTTCCAGTTAATTTTTGGTGTGAATATTTAGATAAAACTAATACTATACATCTTGATTTATCTAGTTATTTCTGCTTAACTAGATAACATTGATATATAACTTGCTGAACGCTACTTGCGAAAAAAAGAACTTTTAGAAACACTGAAGTGTAATTTAGTCCAAAGAATGTTGCTATCAAAATCTAAATCTGTATTTAGAAGTCATTATTCTATGCGAGTTTTATCTACTGTTAGCATAACTGTATCTTAATTTTTATTACGGTCAAGAAAACACCATAATAGAGGCTCAGACTAAATGTATACCCCAAATCAAATAAAGACAGTAGGAGAACCAAAAGAATGCCACCATGGCTAAATAGCAGAATAACAGGCTGTTAGAGGCAAAAAGGCATCCTTTAAAATTTGGAAGTTAAATTCTAGTGAGTAAAATAGGAAGGAGCACAAACTCTGGCAAATAAATTGTAAAAGTATAATAAGGCAGCCCAAGAAATAATTTGATAAGTAACTTGATAAAGATGGGAAAAGTAGCAGCAATTAAAAAAAAAAAAGTAAATCAGAAGCAGGAAGCCTGCCAAGTCAGCAGTGGGGCCACCAAACAACAAAAGTATTAAAGGAGCACTCAGGAAAGACAACGCCATTGCAGAGAAGCTAAATTAATTCTTTGCATTAATCTTCACTACAGAGGATGTGGGGGCAATAGCCACATCAGAGCTATCATTTTTGAGTTTTTTCCTACCTACAACCCCCCCCCGTTCCTCAGACGTTCTTGTTAAACCCTGGATTTGTGCTGGAAATGGCCCACCTTGATTATCATACATATTGTAAGGAGAGTGATCATTTTAGATATTACCAGCAGGAGAATGGGGTGGGGGAGAGAAAACCTTTTGTAGTGGTAAACACCCATTTTTTCATGGTTTCTGTGTATAAGAACATCTTCTGTATTTTCCACAGTATGCATCCGATGAAGTGAGCTGTAGCTCACGAAAGCTTATGCTCAAATAAATTGGTTAGTCTCTAAGGTGCCACAAGTACTCCTTTTCTTTTTGCAAATACAGACTAACACGGCTGTTACTCTGAAACAAATCTGAAGTATTTTCCCAAATTGAAGTTTTACAATGAATTGATAAATTAAACAGTAATAAGTCACTAGGACCAGATGGCATGTTTCAGAGGAACAGCCGTGTTAGTCTTATCAAAGAAAGGAGATACCTGAACAACCAATTTATTTGAGCATAGCTCGTGAGCTACAGCTCACTGAGTGAGCTGTAGCTCACAGCTCATGCTCAAATAAATTGGTTAGTCTCTAAGGTGCCACAAGTACTCCTTTTCTTTTTAGGACCAGATGATATTTACTCAAAAGTTCTGAAGGAACTCAAATATGAAATTGCAGAACTACTCACTGTAGTATGTAACCTATTACTGAAATCTGTCTCTATATCAGATGACTGGAAGGTAGTTCATATTGCTAATATTTTAAAAGGGCTCCAAAGGAGATCCTGGTGATTACAGGCTGATGACCCTAAGTATAGATTGTGAGATTAAAGGAAAAATTTTCAAAAGTGACTTAGGCGACTAAGTCCTATTTTCAAAAGGGATTTAGGATCCTAAGTCTCATTGAAATCTGGCACTTCTCAGGGCCAGATTTTTAAAGGTATCTAGGTGCCTAAAGATGCAGATAGGTACTTAATGGAATTTTCAAAAGCACCCATGTGCATAACTGCTATCGATTTAAAGAAATGTTTCTAGGCTCTGAAAGTTTTACCCAGGTATTGTTTCTCATTGTAAAAAGTCATGATTCAGTCTACCTATATGAATGTCTGTGTTATATTCTGTGTAATAATAATTAGTAATTAATTGCTAACAGCTTTGTAATCACATATAAATCATAGGGCTGAAAAACCACAGTTTATTTAGGAAGTCTTCTGTGTTGAACAAGGGAGGATTTTCAAAGTTAAAAATAATCAGGGCTAATGCAAATATTATTTGCAACAGTTAAAAAATTTATTGAAAAACAGCAGTAAATAGAATGTTTCTTTTAGCACCCATAAAAGACTACATCTCAGTGAAGTGAGAAGAGAAAGCAGATACTAGAACCCTTATTTTTAAGATGGGGAACTCTTAAGCCACTTAAAATTCTACATTTGTCCAGAACACTTCCTTGTTTTTGGTTCTGTCTGTAGGCACATATAGGAGGATCCTCTGTTCCATTTTCATGTTGCTTATTTAGCTGGCCTTTCTTCAACTGACTGGACTTTTGATGAGACTATTTTGCCGTCCACCAGCTCTTCAACAATTGTCTTAACCATTCTAGTTTTAGATGGTTCTAAAAATAAAATATTAATAGTATTATCCATTCAAGATATTAAAATAAAGACTCAAATAACATAAAAAGTTGTGGTCCAGTTAAATAAACATAGGACAGTATGCCTTAGGACAGTGTAAACTTTCATGGCAAAAATTATAAATATATATGTATATATATAGGACCTTTATTTGTTACTTTGCTGAAATACATAGTGCAGCAGAAAGTTACCTTCAAACATGAAAAAGAGGTTGAAATCTTAACTTTGACAGATAGTGGTGTACATTAAAATCTTTGAGGCTTTTTTTCTTTATAACGAGTTACTAATTTTATTTCACCATTTCAGGCTCAATCCTCTGGGTTATTACTTGTCTCCTGATAACCTCAAGGGGAGTTGAAGGTTCCTAGCACTTCACAGGAAGCACTCAGCACTTTAAAGAACTGGGGCCTGATTCAGTGCCCAGTGAGGACAATGGGAAACTTTCCATTGACTTCAATGGGGATTGGATCAGGTCTTCAGTAAGTAATTACTTATACAAATATAAGTTACCAAGATCTGAAGAGTTCTTTTCTGGCAGAGGTAATGCTGTTTGATTTTAAAAAGTGCACTCCTACATCCTTGTAGTTCAAAGACACACTTGAAAATAAGAACAGTAACTTATTTTAATTACCTTTGATTTGAACTCTTGATTCTTGATATTCATAACCTCCAGATCTAAAGCTGCTGTTAAAAATAATTAATAGTCATTAGTTATCTTACAGTACTTTTGGAATTCTAAGAAAATATAATTATTTTGAGAGTTGATGAGAATACTGGTGTTAAAAGCAAGTTTATTGCTATCTTTCTAGAAACAGCATGGCAGGCAATCAGTTTTGTAAGTGATTGGAACTGCTATGTATCATATATATCTGATTGCATTTTTTTGTTGCCAAACAAAAAGGTGAATAATTGATTCCACCAAAATGCTTTACAGGATAAAGATTAAATAAAATACTTTATCAAATATGGATGTAAGATCAAACTGCTCTTTTATCTTGATTGATAAAATGAAAATTTTCTGTGGTGGATATTCTATTTACTGGAGTCATTTTCAGGTATTTGCAGCTGCACATAATGTACAATTCTATAATATTTGCAGATGCTGAGACAGAACAGAGAACTGATACAGCAATTTGTTTTCACTTCACTTAGGTCTATTTCAGTGGGCATTGCAAGGCTCTGACTGATTTCAAAGTGTGTTGAATTAGGTCCTTGGATCCCACAACAGAGCCTTACAAATATTTTTATTTCTGAAGAACATTTAATGAAATGTGCTACTAAGAAATATCCTTCTTAGTAAATATTCTGTAGACAAAATACATAGAGTCCCAAACTTTTAATCTCTCAATGACTTCAAGAAAAGGAGTACTAGTGGCACCTTAGAGACTAACCAATTTATTTGAGCATAAGCTTTCGTCAAATAAATTGGTTAGTCTCTAAGGTGCCACTAGTACTCCTTTTTTTTTGTGAATACAGACTCACACGGCTGCTACTCTGAAACCTGTCAATGACTTCAAATCACATTGAAGTCAGTGGATTTAAGAGCACCCTGACTCATCACCTTGCAGGATCAGATTTATAGTGTGATAGAGAAGAAAAAATCCTCCTCTTGAAAAAGAGGATGCTTCCTATGGATCATATTTGAAATGTGGGCTCAATCCTGCAAGGTGTTCAGCACTCATGCAAGGTTATGAAGGCCCTCAGCTTCCACTGAAGTCAGTGGAATTTAATGTAGTTAAGCATTTAACTGGAATGATCTGCACCTTACAGGATTTATCCCTATATGCACGGAACATGGAATAAGATATATTGATGTTTATTTCTTATTTCTAGAGTTCTGTTTTTCAAAATAAATTCATCTAACTGAAATAGTTTTTTCTTCAGGCTGTTTGCTTACCCTCCTTCTCCATCTAGCAGTCGCCTATAGGTCTCAATCTCCATCTCTAGATGTGTCTTGATGCCCAGGAGCTGTTCATATTCTGCATTCTGGCACTCCATTTCAGATCTGATCTGCTTTAATTGTTCCTCCAGATTGCTAATCTGAAGCTGAATTTGTGAAAGCTGAGTACTGTAGTTTCCTTCAGTTTCCGCCAAGGTGCCTTCAAGGGAGCATTTCTATCAGCGCATAACAATGGCATGTTACTGATGAAGCTGAAATGCTTGATTACACACAAGGAAAATTTTCTTTAACAGTGAAAATAATTTATACCAGAGAAGTAGAAAAAATATTTCCCTAATCATAACACTTAATTAGAAATAAAATTACATTTTTTTCTCTATCAGTTTTCAATACCACTAGTTTTTGTGATGAAAATTATTTCTCTGGAATAGTTTTTCCTTTCTCTTCTCTCTTTCTCACTGTAGTTTTTTAGTATTATATTACTAGTTTTTATAATGTTTTATTACTTTATACACTGCTTCTTCTGTAACACTTTTCTCAAACAATGCAAAGTAAAAATGTATTAAATTAATTGGATATGCATGTAAAACAATTTTACTTGTATGTTAAGTTTATGAAAATAAGTGAAAGGTCAAAGTGGGAATATAAGAATTTAATCTGTTTGGTGCATGATTATCTGCTATACAGGTGTTTGAAAGAAATTCAGATTTGTTCTTATTGGCGAGATGTTGAAGATAAGTAGTTTGGCTATTGACTGCTCTTCTGAAGAAATCCATAAGAGCCTTTTGAAGTTGTCTTTTCAGAGATCAGAATGAATGAAAAATATAGTCACTGAGAGAACATGATGAAACAACTTTATGCCAAAAAGCTGGATGGCATTAAATTTAATATCCTGTTGTTTTTTATTTACATTAATGGTTTATCATATGTAAATATTAAAATACTGATTAGGCCACCAAGGGATTATTCAATATTCAGCATTCCCCATACACATATTCAGTCATTTTACACTTACTTAAAAGGTGGTGGACCATATTCCATCCTGGATTCTTGCCAAAAAAAAAAGTTCCATTGAAAGTGGATAAACTTGCATGTGTGTAATGAAGGTGGAATATTGACCTGTAATGCCTCTTTTGAGGCCATGTCTATTACAAAACTTTATAAAGTGTTTTTGAGACTGTTTAAAACAAATCTGTTTATTTTGATTATTCTTTCTAACTAGTCAAACTCACCACTCTTCCTTCTCTATGGACTTTAGTATTTAGTTTAGAATTACAGTTGTTTCTCTGTGCTTAGAGTAAATATAGGTGAGCTATCAAAACACGTGTCTATATTAGAAACAATTATATATTAAATGCAAATATGCCCTTACATAATGCCAAAGTAGTGGATAAAGCTATTATGGACACTGTAAATGTTTTTAATAAGAATTTTGAATTATAAAAGTTACCTTAAGTGGCAGCTATTACAAACCTTGGCCAGAAGGGCTTGTAGCTCAATGTCCAGGGTTTGGAGAGTACGTTTGATCTCAGTTATTTCATGCCTGGCTGAGTCTGCTGCACCAGCATCATCATAGATTTGTTGCTGCAGCTGTTGACTCTGGAAAAGTCATAATACAATATAATGAATACAGGGTGATGAAACAAATCTTTGGATTTGAATATGCTTTCAGAAAACGTATCAATCATATTGTTACCATTTTATTAAATTGTTCTTCGGCCTCCCTACGATTTTGCTCAGCAAGGGATTCATACTGAGCTCTCATGTCATTCAGAATCTTTGTTAGATCAACTCCTGGAGCAGCATTAATTTCTACATTCACTTCACCTGTAGAGCCACGCTGGAAGCTTTTCATTTCCTGGTTAAATGGAAGACAAGGAGATTTTAATTTTAAATATATTGCAACTGCAGAAGCAGGGAAAAATTAAATAACTGAAATCAGTAAGTGTCAAAATCTGAATGTTTTGAAATAGTAAATTGACCATAAACCATTTCACTTTTAAACCACTTTTAAATGGAAAGACTCTCATTGACTTCAGTGGGAGTTGGACTGGGACCTATATTTGCAAAAGGAAGGCAAAGATCTTACTTCCTCATGGTTCTTCTTAAGATACACTAGCTCCTCAGTCAGGCTTTCAAGCTGTGCTTCCAGGTTGGATCTTGTCATAGTCAGATCATCTAGGACTTTACGCAGACTATTAATGTCAGCTTCAATACTTTGGTAAAGGAAAAGCTCATTTTCATACCTTTAAAGTGTTAGGAGAATTTTGAGAATATAATCAGATCAGAAAGAAAGGAAAATCTCTTTTTCCTTGCAAGAAAAATATTTGATATTAATAAAGCAGAATTTCATTAGAGAAGATGTGAGAATAATGCATTTTTATTATCTGTTTATTTTGTATTCTGGTTTTTATGATTTGGCAAAAGTTTTAATAGTTTTTTTAAAATTAAAAATATAGCTCTATTGCATATAATAGTTATAAAATTGATTTTAATATTGTTATCATTTTTGGAATAATACTTCAGATTTCTTTTAATACTAAAAAGTGTAGAGAAAAGTGTCTAAGGACCATATGAGACGATCAGTTTGTAAGCAGCAAACAATGGTGAGTTCTGCTTAAAAACAAGTGGCATGAGGTGGCCTAAGTTGTTACTACCCCATCATTACTAACTGGTTTTCACTGAACTCACTTAAGTCTGAAGTCATCAGCAGCAAGCTTGGCATTGTCAGTCTGCAAGACTATCTTGGCATTGTCAATAGTTGCAGAGATGATCTGGATAAATAGAAAGATAGATAAGGAAAGAGGCAATATTTATATGACTACTATGAAAATATCCTTTGCATTTAATTTTGGGCAAATTTAGAGGCTAACATGAAAAATGCAGATTTAAAAAATAATTTGTTTATATGCAGTTTAAACATAGAGGGAGACATGATTTCTTTCCCTTTTTTTAAAATTAAGTATTTCCTTTCCACGTTAACAAATTAATTTTAATGCATAAACAGTAAAAAAAACTAAACATTCTTAATAATAAAATAGATACTTTTATAGTCATATTAAATTAACAAGAATTTGTGTGAAAAATAAGTTGGTAGAAATATTACATCTTAAAGTCTACTGCTTTAAGTATTCTTAATGTCAACAGAAAATGATAAATGTCTGAAATTAAGCTGAGCAGAATTTCTCATTTGGTAATAACTCATACACTGCTTGTGAGTTATAGTTTAACACAAGATATGGTTACAAGGTGCATACCATTGTAAAGTGCTGAAAAATTATTTATTACCTGATTCTTAAGATCTTCAATTATCTGGTAATATTTGCTGTAATCACAGCATAACCCAGCAGCAGCAGGATCATGTTTCTCATACCACAGCCGGATTTTATGTTCAAGATCAGCATTTGCCTCCTCCAGAGCACGCACCATATCCAGGTAGTTAGCTAGGCGGTTATTAAGGTTCTGCATGGTTTCCTTTTCGCCACCAGACAGAAGGCTGCCATCAGCTCCACCAAAGGCCCCACTAAAGCCTCCACTATAGCCACTACCCAAGCCCCCAAATGAGCTACTGCGGTAGGCATTTCCATAGCCTCCTCCAACTGATATATTACCAAACCCACCACTATAGCCTCCACCAAAGCCACCACCTGCTCCCCTTCCTAATCCACTCCCTAATCCAACATCGGATCCCCCAGCCAAACCACATACACTCCCACTACCAAAGCTTCTTCCTATGCTGGAGACTCTGACTGATCCACCACCTCCACCAAATGAGGAAACCTGGCTGGATCCACTAGCAATACAAAGAGACATAGTTTTTTAGTGGTGGTCTGAGTTGTTAAAGTGTAACAAAGGCAGCAAAGTAGAGTGAGAGAATGTCTTGGCTAGGCAGTTCCTTTACCTTTTTATACAGAATTATTAGGGTGTTTCTTTCTGGATTCCTCCTACCTATGGCAAAATATTTTTTTTGCCAACTCAGCATAGTGTTAGCCATGATTGGATGATTTCTCCTCATTAGCATTTAAATCAATGGTGACCGTTCATGTAAAGAGGTTAGTGCCCTGAAGATGTTTGTTATATCAGGAATAGAGAAGGGTGGAACAAAGCAAAAGAATCATTATTACATTTTAATCATAGATGAGTAATTCCTTTGCTTCTTCCAGACCTCAGGCATAACTCTCATAATTCCCCAAGAAGATAGAGCAAAATTTCAAGTGATATATCTTTATCATTCTTACCACCAAACTTATCATTTCTCTCTTTGATAAATTAATAGGGCTGTCAAGCGATTACAAAAATTAATCACGATTAATTGCACTGTTAATAATAGAATACCATTTATTTAAATATTTTTGGATGTTTTCTACATTTTCAGATATATTGATTTCAATTACAACACACAATACAAAGTGTACAGTGCTCACTTTATATTTATTTTTGATTACAAGTACTTGCATTGTAAAAAAACAAAAGAAATAGTATTTTTCAGTTCACCTAATACAAGTACTGTAGTGCAATCTCTTTATCGTGAAAGTTGAACTTACTAATGTAGAATTATGTACAAAAAATAACTGCATTAAAAAATAAAACAATGTAAAGCTTTAGAGCTTGCAAGTCCACTCAGTCCTACTTCTTGTTCAGCCAATTGCTCAGACAAACACGGTTGGTTACATTTGCAGGAGATAATGCTGCCTGCTTCTTGTTTACAATGTCACCTGAAAATGAGAACAGGTATTCTCATGGCACTGTTGTAGCTGACATCACAAGTATTTACGTGCCAGAAACGCTAAAGATTCATATGTCCCTTGATGCTTCAAGCACCATTCCAGAGGACATGCGTCCATGCATGCATGACGGGTTCTGCTTGATAACAATCCAAAGCAGTGCGGACTGATGCATGTTCATTTTCATTTTCTGAGTCAGATGCCACCAGCAGAAGGTTGATTTTCTTTTTTGGTGGTTTAGGTTCTGTAGTTTCCTCAACGGAGTGTTGGTCTTTTAAGACTTTTGAAAGCATGCTCCACATCCACACCTCGTCCCTCTCAGATTTTGGAAGGCACTTCAGATTCTTAAACCTTGGGTCGAATGCTGTAGCTATATTTCAAAATCTCACATTGATAACTTCTTTGCGTTTTGTCAATCTGCAGTGAAAGTGTTCTTAAAACGAACAACACATGCTGGGTCATCAACTGAGACTGCTATAATATGAAATATATGGCAGAATGCAGGTAAAACAGACCAGGGGATATACAATTCCCCCTAAGGAGTTCAGTCACAAACTTAATTAACGCATTATTTTTTTAACGAGCATAATCAGCATGGATGTATGTCCTCTGGAATGGTGGCCGAAGCATGTAGGGGCATACGAATTTTTAGCATATCTGTCCCGGAAATACCTTGCAATGCCGGCTACAAAAGTGCCATGCAAATGCCTGTTCTCACTTTCTGGTGACATTGTAAATAAGAAGAGGGCAGCATTGTCTCCTGAAAATGTAAACAAACTTGTTTGTCTTAGCTATTGGCTGATCAAGAAGTAGGACTGGGTGGACTTGTAGGCTGTGAAGTTTTACACTGTTTTGTTTTTGAATGCAGTTTTGTAACCAAAAAAAATAAATCTACATTTGTAAATTGCACTTTCACCACACAGAGATTGCACTACAGTACTTGTATGAGGTTAACTGAAAAATACTATTTCTTTTGTTTATCTTTTACAATGCAAATATTTGTAATCAAGAATAATATACATTTTGATTTCAATTACAACACAGAATACAATATATATGAAAATGTAGAAAAAACATCCAAAATATTTAGTAAATTTCAGTTGGTATTCTGTTGTTTAACAGTGTGATTAAAACTGCGAGTAATCGCGATTAATTTTTTTGAGTTAACTGCGATTAATCGACAGCCCTAATAATAAATAAAAGTGCCATTAGTCCCAATGTTTGTTTGTTTGATTTGCATGCAGTTTTCCTTCTTAACTGTTGTTCAGGTGGGATCTTCTTAATATTTCTAAGTATGAGCTACTTCAAGACTTCCAGTAAATTTGGGGGCCGACTAAGGGCCTTACATAGGTTCTTCAAATTTGCCTTTACTAATAAAATCATCACCATTATTATCATCTATAATCTTATTTTCAGAGTGCCTTCCTGCAGAAGCAGTTTGTGTATTGCATGATATTTGAACACATTAAAATATTAATCCATTATTATTAAATTTGACCTCTTAAAATTTAAATGAATAAAATGTAGGCATATCCTGGAATTCCCGATGCTTAATTTTTTCTTAGGAGAGGTGGAGAGTGTGGTCAGATATTGGCTGCATATGTCCCAGCTCTGCGTAAATAGAGGAGATAACAGACCTCAATTAAACTGCCCAATAAATCCACAGACTCAGTTTTTAGCCAAGGCACCTGGCCAGGTTTATTGTCAATGAGGCACGGTCTTAGTATCCTGCAGACTCTACAGGACCACTAACACATGTATGCCCGTTACAAAGGACCAGCTTGGTGAATGGCGGGACTTTCTGCTCCCCACAAGGCCAGACAAAGACATTCCCTCTGAGATACATTTTTATACCCCAGTACAAACAAGTTATGTACCACCTCTCTGATATAGTTAGGTGCCACACTCTGACGTGAGTTACTGCCCCCTCTGACGTAGCTAACCACAACCCATTACCTCGTACCTGTTGGTTTGATTAAAACATCTCTATCCATCATGCTGTCATCCTGACCTTATTTTTAAAATGGGTCAGCATGTTCCTGTTATCTTTTGGGGAAAGTGTTGTGTGACAGGGTCGGGCCAGATGGCTAGAGGAGAGTAATAGAAGGCAGATATATTAGCCCCAGGCTAAGTAGGTCCCTTTTCCCTGGGTAAGGTAACAGGGAAGGTTCCAGAACAATCAGGAAGCTTCTGGAGACAATTAAGTCAGGCTGATTAGAATACCTGCAGCCAATCAAGAAGCTGCTAGAATCAATTAAGGCAGACTAATCAGGGCAACTGGGTTTTAAAAAGGAGCTCACTTCAGTTTGTGGTGTGCGTGTGAGGAGCTGGGAGCAAGAGACACGAGGAGCTGAGAGTGAGAACGTGGACTGTTGGAGGACTGAGGTGTACAAGCATTATCAGACACCAGGAGGAAGGTCCTGTGCTGAGGATAAAGAAGGTGTTGGGAGGAGTCCATGGGGAAGTAGCCCAGGGAGTTGTAGCTGTCGCCCAGCTGTTCCAGGAGGCACTCTAGACAGCTGCATTCCACAGGGCCCTGGGCTGGAACCTGGAGTAGAGGGCGGGCCCGGGTTCCTCCCAAATCCTCCCAACTCCTGGTCAGACACAGGAGGAGTCGACCTGAACTGTGAATTCAGAAAAACGGCCAATCTGAGGGCTGCCGTGAAGCTCCAAGGTGAGCAAATCCGCCAATAAGCACAAGACCCACCAAGGTAGCGCAGGAACTTTGTCACAGTTGGTATCGAGGTGTTCTGATACCACCTTTCTGGAATGTGTTTGTGTATATATTCTTGTGCCTATCACTGCTTAGGAAAGTGTGTTTCTGCAATACCAGCCCTGTTCTTGGCAGATTCTGTGAGCAGGGCCTGCTTCTTGCTTACAACTTAACTTTGCTTTATATCAGCAAAGTTTTGACCACTACTTTAGCTCAGGCTCCTGATACAAGGGCTTATGTTTCAGGCCCTTTTCCTACTACAGAGAGATTTGGAGCTGGGAATTTTATCAGGACTGCTCAGTAGATAAAAATGTAGAGTCAATTAAAGTAATCTCCTCTGCAGAATTCGCGCCAATTCAGAAATCAGTTACTCAGGCACTTACCTTTAAAACACGAGTAAGTCCATCCTTGTCCTCTGAAGCACTTGAGCACATTCTTGAATCTGCTAACAGTTAAGACTGTGCTTAAGTGCCTGGCAGAACAGGGATGGATTTACATGCTTAAATTGAAGGATGTGGTTAATTGCTTTGCTGAATTGGGCCAACATGCAGTATGTATGCATGAATTATTTTGGATTTTGTACCAACCTTTTAGCTTAAAATCCAGTGAATGCTAGGTACACTGAGTTGATTTGAGGATGATCTTTGTAATAACTGAGGGAGTGGATAATTTACATGGTTGTTTAAATGTTCTGTTGTTTAATAAATGGAGGTTCCTTTTGCATGTCATTTATTTTAATCGGTTGAGGTAATGAGGCTATTAGTATAGTTCGCTCTTAGATGCCTGTGCAAATCCTTTCTTTGGATCCCAGTGTCGTGCAGTTGACTGAAGTTCAGAGTATTTGTGTATAACATGTAGGTGACTTTGTGTTGATCTGTGTTGTGTTTAATAGATCATGACAAGAAGGTGAAAAGATAATGCTTTGTCTGCCATTCTCTCAATTGGGGAGATGCTTTTCACCACTTTCTCTTGTGTTAATGGTCTTTTTCAAATGAACATGTATACTTATTTTTTTAAATTTATATTTTATTGTTTTTAGATACTTTGAAAAAATAATTAAAATATAAAATTAGTCAATTTAAACTGAACAAAATACTGTATAACCTTTTGTCACTTTTGTATTGAGCTTTAAACAAAAATAGCTTTGTCAACTCACACCTGACCTTTGGAGCAATACCTGTAAATGATATACATTAGAGAAAGATTTTACTCTAATCCTAAAAGAACCAAAACACTTTCCAGCTTTCTGTACAATGGGAGGGGAAAGATGTCCAGTCCCAGCTTCTGGCAGTCGGAGGTATATGGAACCCTAAAGCATGGGGTTGCATCCTAGACCATCCTAGACCACTGATGGACCTATCTTCCACAAATTTATC